GGGGGGGGGGGAGAAAGAAAGAAAGAGTGTGACAGAGGTTTTCACGCTCTATAATAGTAACCGTGTTGAGAGAGCGGAAAATATGATTCCACAAATCATCCCGCTGATATATTTTAGGAACAGACGTGAATAACTCGGTGACAAACGGATAAGTGCCAGGTGTCAGTGACCGAAACCGATATCTAGCCAAACATTCTGTAATTTATTCTGTAATAGGAGAACGTTCCTCGAGACTCGCGCACCCTCCTGTTTGCTCAGAAATGCAAACGATCCCCGGCGCGACTGATATTCTCCATTCCCGCGTCAATATGGCCATAATTATATAATTCTTCGTAAATGTCGTGAAATTCAAACGATCTTCTGTAATTTTACGAATGAATACCTCGAATATTTATACAGAATTTAGTGCTATATGAATATGCGATGTATGTCCAACTTCGTTTTTCCGTAGATCACGTCGATTGTGAAAAATGAATTCTACACTTGTGCATACGGGCGTGTATACGTAATCGAAATCGAAACGATTCTTCGAAATGAAGCGCGAGAAAGGGAGGGAGCCACAATTTGCTGTTAATTGATATCTATTAGCTTCATTGTAACGCAGTGCATACGTGTCGGCGCGGTCGGCGGCCCTTACGATTTCAGTCGCCATTCAAAAGGCTCTCTCCCTTTTCACACGAGTCACTTTGATCGAACCCGCATGTTAACCCGGTAAAGTCGTTAAAGATCTTTCACGTCAAACGTGACGTGCTGGGTGGAGCCGTTGACAAGCATTCACGTCAGAAATATAGAAACAGGAATAAACACGCGCGCTCCGCGGCGTGGGTACGTACACATATATAATTACGTCACAATCGAAGCGTTGTAAGGGTGAACAAACTGTCCACTAGCGATAAGCTTAAAACTCGAAGACCAATCTTTACTCTTGAAAGATACGGCATACGAGGTTCAAGGTATCGTCGTTAAATATACGAGGGAAGGCTCTCTTGAGCGAGGAACAGGATATCTTATTCGATTGTTCGATCCAAGTGACGTACCGGACAATTCCCCCCCCGGTCGTTTAATAATTGAAGACGATGGGAAGAAAGGGGACACACGGAATGTTTCTCGACTGCACGCCACTGCAGACGCTAGATGGAACGGAAACTTTAATATTTAAGACCGCCAGCGAGAAATGTCCGCGACGGACGTCTCGACTTCTGTCCCACTTTATTTTACGTTCTATTAAGAAAAATGTTGCGCAAATATAATCATTAATAATAATTAACGCGATGATGAATATGAAATTATCACGTTCAAAAATGTGAAGAAGGATGGTAAAAATAATCTTTTGTAGTTTTACATAGGCAGACGAAAATAAAATGAGTCAGATATATAAATTCAGTGAGGGCGCATGCGATTTTCGATTTTTTGTAAATCAAAATCTCCGAATCTAAACTATATGTGAGGTCCTCCAGAGGACCTTAGAGTTTTGACACTACGTACCCTCCTCCGTGGACCCTTGAAAACGGATCCTTTCTCCTCCACTCTGCCCCTCTTATGCTGACGTAATGCAGGACACGCGTCTGTTTCTTGTCGATGGAAAAGTGGAGGAAAGGTTCTCGAGCGTGACCGAGAGGTTCATCGGACTGTAACTTCCATCTGTCCTCTTGATGCACAAGCTAATATCTGTCCTTCGTTTCTGTTGCAGAGATGTCCTGCTGCTCGCTGGCTGCTGGATCCTGTCGGAATGTGTGCTCCAAGGTACGCATTTTAAATAAGTACAACGTACTGCACTCTCGCCGTCTCGCTTCTTTAAGATATATCTTAAGAGAGTCTCTTGAAATTTTTGTGTTCCACGAATAAAGATAATTCAATTAAATTCAATGCGCCAGTCTGATTAATATATGCTTTTGTATCTACGATCAAAATACCTATATATATAAAACTTACTATATAAAACATACCTATATATATACCTATATATAACTTATATAATATATAATACATAAAAGCCTTCTTAGTATCCTGCATTGAAAGTGAACGGCCGGGAGCAAAATACTGAGCTATTCGCGAAATCTAAAATCGCTTATAAAATCCAAAACTAATATTCGAGACTGTATGGAGGTACATCTCTTTCATCGCGATAAGAAATTAACCGTGGCCCCACGCCGCGGAATACAATCAATTAATTATGCGCGGGAGGAGAAACCCTCGTGGGAATTTCAAAAAGACAATCTCGACGGCGTAATCGTCCGAATGCGATATCGCGCGGTTGATAAATATCCCGTGGGCCGAACCCGGGACGATAAAGGACACGAAATATGTCGTGTCCACGGATATATTAGGATCCGGGAAATAAAAACGGAACGGTAAGAAGAAAGAGAGAGAGAGAGAGAGAGAGAGTGGAAATGGATAGGTGGAAAAAAAAGATGAGAAGGATATCTCGTTGCTTCTCCTTCGATGAGGGTTTCTCGACGTGGGGTGCGTCCCGGCTGCAGCTTCTTTAGAGGTGACTGCGGGGGCTTCCTCCTCCGAAGATAATATCGGAGACACCGGGGGCCCGCTGCGAGATTTACGCGGGACCCCTTCGGGGCGCCCCGCGGGCTCATTCATACGCAAATATTACGAATTGACGCGTTGAACATGGTGGATGCATCGCGCGTTATCAATGATATCGTGTCTCCACGCAGTTTATTCGGGGTGAGTCTCTCAGAGAGAGGGACGTACTTCGAGTGATCCTTTGTTGATTTCTGATTACGGAATGACGTACACGAGAATCCTCGTCCATAAAGGATATTTTATTGCTGCGGCGATCGCGATGTGAATTTTTTTATTCGCATGCAATGTACTTTAAAAACTCCTGAATCCGAAATGAAAAATAAAGCCAGTTGTAAAAATTACAAAGACATTCGGAGAAGTTTCTTAGAAGAAACTGTCTGGCATGATTTCTCTCGCGGTTTTTAATGTTTTACATCTCACAGCGTTTATTGCTCAATTGAGACACGACACAGCGCGAGGTGCAGAAAAACTTTGAGAAAGAGCTGTCTCTCCGGATCGTCTCGCTTGACTACTGATGAGCGTTTCCTTCTTGGCCATTTAGCAGCGAAATAACCGGAAATCGTGACGAAAGCTCTGAGATATGTGACAAGTTATTCTTGAGGTGGACAGGAAAGACGCTTCTTCGTCAACGTGGGTTTTTTTTTCTTATTCGAGTCAGCAGTATTTTCGTTGCTTCCTCTGTCTCACGTTAAAAAATACATTTTTGACAAATTAGTCTTTTCTTCTCTAAATTATGCCGTATATTTTCTTCTGTTAGTTAATTAAAAAAATTTTGTATTATGTCAGAAAGATAATTTTAAGAGCATATCGAGATGGTATTTATAATCTCTACAAAAACACCGAGTGCATATAACGGGTCGTTGTATCGGAGAGAACTGCAGATGACTACCGATTTAATTAGTCGGCCGACACCTCACAGTCGTTTGTGGCATCGTTGCGGGATTTCGGTAAATGAGAGCACGGGGCAAATTATGAAAGCTCCCGGCTCTATTTCGGTATCTTTTGATCTCGGCTTTCGCGCGGAGGTCTGATGTATCTGGTCTGGAGATATATGTGCCACGAAGTAACGTTTATTTTTTAGTTTCACAAACGATAGTATTTTCTACGTCAGTTTCAATCGCGATATCACAAACAGGACAAACGGTGAAATTATTTATCGTCTCGCGTCATATTGTTCGTTATTATTCGAGAATGATGAACTTCAAACGTGTATGTGTGAGCAGAAAATAGAAATTTTTCGTCGTCAACATATTTCTTGGTGTTAAAACCGCCGCGAAAAATTTGCCAGTGGAAAATGCACCCTTTCGACATGGCAACGTGACCCGGCTGCGCATACCTCCCAGAATATACCGCGACGGAAATACGCGTACGTCGTTTTCTCAGCTTCACATCACTTTCACCTCTAACATTTATAATAGCCTAACTTAGTAGAAATATTCTGGAGATACTGACCAGATTGTTAAATTATAGAATAGATCTCTTCGTACAGTAAAGAAGTTAATAAAAACGCCGTCAAAAATACATTAAATACATATAATGTAGCTTATTTATAGCTTGTTACTTTAATAAAAATATAAAATGCGATTTATCGTCTTATGTGTGGTCAAAACTGCAAATTAATTTTAAAACTGCTACTAAAAACATATGTATGTATGTATAAACAAGTGATCGATGATTTACGTACCTTGCGGTCGAGTGTAACCTTTGACTGGGCCTATCGCCGTGGCCTGTCGGGACCCACCGCATGTTGATGGATGGTCGTAACTCTTGACCGTGATGGACATACCAAGTAGATCCGGCGTGTCCTCGCGGAGGACACCGATTGAATCCGGGATGAGGACGAAACGCGCGAGCGATATCTGGCCCCGGCCGATTGTCATTCAGTGACGGGCAACAGGAAATCGCCGGGGCTCGCGTGTTGCATTCGTGTCCTTGATTCTTAATGGTCGCTAATGCGCCGTATCGCATTTCGAATTTGGGAAGTCCTCGGACGCTCGCTTCGAGTCAGCCGAGGCAGACGTTAAAGGAGTTTTACGCCTCAAAATCCAACTCGTCGGAATAATTTACACATTTATGCAATATGAGTTTCCTTCTGTCGCTACTTCATTATCATTTATATTTTACCTTCCCAAGTAATTTTACATCTCCGAGACGCGACGTTCTGAAATAATTTTTATTCATGGTCTATCTTTATAACTTCTTCGTAACTTATATCCTTTCGTTAAGGTAATTTTGTCGCGATTTTATACAGATATCCTTGGTAGTCCTGGGTGCCGAGATCGAAGCGAGGGAAAACGCCACTCAACGTCTGCTGGAGTTTTGTTCCATGGAGCTGGTGAGTTGCCACACGATTTTTATTTCTAAGGCTCGCTCCCACGCGATCGACACTCGCCCGTTCTCTTCATTCAGCTCAGATCTGGATCGGAAGCCTCTCGACAATGGGCGCCTTAAACGATTCAGGATGTTTGTAACGCGATCCACATTTTTTTCACTTCGCGGTGACGATTTTATGAAAGATGATCTCCGGTCTCGCGGTCGCGCGATCGATTGTGCTACTTCATTTTCTTCATCATTCCTCTTTCTTTTTCTTCTTTTTTTTTGCAACCATTTTCTCTCACGTTTAAATCTTTTTTTTTTTTTAGTTCGATTTTTGGTCCTGCGTGAACACGACGTTAAAAGGTAAGCGGAGTATCCAAGTGTGCAATAAATGTTGCCGTAGAATATCGAATCATTTAAATTTCTATTATAGAGCTCAAGAGAAACGAGAATTGGATGGGTCGAGGATGCTGTCGTCTCGCTCAGAATCCAACGTGTCGCACGACCTGCGCTCTGTCCGGTTCCACTAACAATCTGAACGAATCCTGTCGACCGAGCGACGAACCCGAGTTTTTCTTCTGTCTGGAAAAGCGCGAGGAGGCCGAACAATGTTGCAGCAACGTTTCCAATGACACGTGCAGGACTATTTGCAAGGATATTTTTTACAAGCCCGGCAAGCAATCTAGCTTAAAGTTGTACAGCAGCAAGGGTTGTTTCCATCAGGTGCCTAAGTGCCTGAAGAACATAGCCGAGGTGAAGCACGCTGAGGATCCGAAGCAACGTTAGTTAACATTTCATAAAAAATTGTCATTTGATTTACAATTTGAGAGTATATGCGCGCATCAATTAGCGAATTTGAGTTTAATCTTGTAATAGTATTAAAATATTGCAATTGTTTTTTTTTTTTTTTAAATAATGTTATATAATTATAACGTATCAAATTTTTTAATCATTATAAAAATAATGTTTTCGTTTAGCAACAAGATTAATTTCTATTTATATATACTTTAATTAATCATTAATTTATATTCATATACTTTAATTGATCGTTCAACTACATTAATGAACGATTATTCGAGGCATCTGACCTGTTTAATTTAGCTAATTCTATTTCCGTAGATTTGCACTGTTGCGAGGTAGATCCGACTCCGGCATGTCGAGACACGTGTCGCAGGACTCTTCACACCGCGACGACCGATCAGGAGATCATAGATGCCCTGGCGGAGAAGTGTAGCCCCGTGTTACCGCAGTCGCCGATGTGGAGTTGCTTGTTGAAATCGGGCTCGACGAAGCCGACGCGACTACCCTTGGATGCCGGCAAATTGGCGTGTTGCACGAAAGCGACAAGGTCGATTTGTCAAAATTTATGCTGGCGTGCCTTTCAGGCAGACTGGGAGACTGCCTGGTTACAACTGGACGCACAGTGCCTCCAATCCAATTCAGAGGGTGAACTGAGGAGGTGTCTCGAAGACGCGGACGACTCTTGCGAGATAGGCTGCTCCGGGTTGTCTTACTGCGCGCGGTTTAATGACAGACCTACGACTTTGTTCAGGTATGAATCGTGAGTGTGATCAAAATCTAATAGTCACGTTAATAGTCCGAGTCAAGTAAATTCGCTTAAAGCTTAGTAATTTGAAATTTGAGTATCAAAATTAACACCGAGTGATAAAAAGTTTTTTTTTTTTAATTTACGCTTAAGTATTTATCAAATCATAATCAAATACATAATTTCTTAGAACGTGCACGACTGCGGCCGACGAAGCGGCCAAATGGGAGGCTGATCATTGGTACAGAGGAGGTATTATTCGTGGATTAGGTGTACCTGTGCGCGCCGCAGCTTCCTGCCCGGCGGAGACTCTACGCGCGGCGGCCTGCATTCTGCAGCTGCGACCTTGCGAGACTAGAATCCACGAGACGCGACTCTGCCGCGAGGATTGTTTAGAGCTGATGGCGAGCTGCGTGGACTGGAGCGCGATAACCGGACCTCACACAGCGGCCACCTTGTGCGCCAAGCTGTCGCCGGGGAGACCGGACGCACCGTGCGTCTCGTTAGGGCCGTTTCTGGATGATCCGCAGAATGACGAAGCTGTGATCCATCCTGACGAGGACATCACGACGCCCTGCAAGCGGAATCCTTGCGCGCAGGGCCAGCTCTGCGTGCTCCAACCGAACGGCGCCAAGATCTATCACTGCGTGCCGGCTTGTTCCCTCGGCGAGATGTCGAAGCAATTGGTACCGGTCGGATCCTGGATTCAGATCCCGCGATTTGATCAGCACGGCTGCCTGAAGATCTGTCAGTGCACGACGCGCGGTTTAGAGAAGTGCCGCACGCTCAATTGCTTCAACTTCAAATCCTGCTGGGTGCACGATCGGTTCATCCAACACAAGGCCAACTTCTACCTCGAGTGCAATCCCTGCTACTGCTTCGAAGGCGAGTTCACGTGCTCAAAGAGGAGCTGCGGCGAGCTGCGAACGCCGTCGTTGCCCTGCGACTGTCCGGCTCATTACGTCCCGGTTTGCGGCAGGCTAGGCTTCACCTTCGCGTCCGCCTGTCTAGCGAAGTGCGCCGAGCTGTCGGCCACCGAGGTGGAATTCGGCAGCTGCTCCAGCAGGGATCCCTGCATGCCCAATCCCTGTGACAGCTCGGAGAGATGCGTCCGTAGACCCAGAGTCTGCTTGTCGCGATTGCACAAGCCGTGCCGGCAATACGAGTGCGTGCCGATAGACTGCAATCCGCGCGACGAGTCCAGCGGACCGGTTTGCGATCGAGAGAATCGCCAGTATCCTTCCGTATGCGCGATGATCCGAGCTGGAGCCACTCTGAGTTACAGAGGGCCTTGTCTAAAAGGATGCAGTCTTCGGGGTCCAGTGTGCGGCATCAACGGCGAGGTCTACGTTAACGAATGCGCGGCTTGGGCCGAGAGGGTCGTCGTGGACTATCAAGGTCCTTGCGTCGCCGTCGGTCTCATAGGAGATCAGGCGAAACCACGCTGCGGCGACGCCGTGCAGTGTCCTGTCTTAGAGGAGCCCTATTGCGTCGGGATTACTCCTCCCGGCGCTTGTTGTCCTGTCTGCGGAGGAGCGGCGAAATTATTCTACTCGAAGAAACAGGTACATATTCTCAATCGAGAATCCTTTCAATTCTCATGCCTTTCAGGCTTTTGAATTATCCTTTATTTGCAGCTGGACAGGATCTACTATATGATGGATGAGGAAGCTGACAAGGACTCCGTCACTCTAGAGGCTCTCTTGATCGCTCTAGGTCGTCAGTTGCAAGTGGCGCAATGCGCTATTCGGGGCATGATGACGCCCGATAGCGATATCTTCATCGTCGTACAGCCCGTTACCAAGAAGTTATCGGCACTGCAGTTGCGAGCTTGCGTGACGGAAACGGAGAAGCTCGTCACCAGGATTTCGGAGAGGAGTCCCCGGATCGCGGCGGAAGTACCTCTGGGCTCGCTGACCAGAGCCGAGATAGCCCACGGTTACGTTTCTAGTGCCATGAAAATTCGTGCTTGGCTCGCGATGGTTTTCGTTACAATCTTCTTGCTAAACGTTTTATCTTGAATTACGATCACGCTAAAAGGAAAATAAGATACATCGCTTGTCTTCTATCCAGTCCAAAGTATTTAAAAATTTTAATTTTTACATTTTAATTTTAAATGACCGCGTAAAATGTCCGAGATTTATTATCGTCAAAGGATAGTTGCAGCTATGAGCGATTAATCTTTTTTTCTGCTTCGGCGTTGAAAGCGTTTCTTTACCTAATCGCGATGCCATTCGCGGCGACGAATGTCTACAGCGTGTCTCGTGTCTGTGATTCTTCTAGTGCCTTCTAATAGCGTACAGCAGAATGTATTTTTAGTTAACAATTAATACTGCCAAAGAGGAAAGAGTATATAATGAGAGTGTATGTACAAAAATATAGATTTCCTGCGTGCGTAATTCGTCGCAGATAATCGAGAGCTGCTCATTATAAATTATAAATAAAAAAAGACTCCATAAACTTAAGTTATATACATATATCAGATCGCATATTGATTGACATTAGTATAACGTGTGTTCACATATGTGATTTTTATGCAAAAGCCCGAAGCGTCCATTCAAAGAAATAAATCTTATTCTCTCTTTTGTTATTAATTTTTTGTCGATTGGAAAAATTAGCCTAGGATTTTTTTAAGAATTTTTTTTAAGCTATGAATGTACGATTTTTCTGGCGTATGCTGCGCAGGTGCGGTTTTACGCTGCTGAGCGTTCGTTCGACTTTTTATTTCGTACAGATAAATGAGTACAATAGAATTCATTAAGAGGACAATATGTGGGTGCTCGCATTTTATTTATAAATATGCGAAAACTTGGATTGCCTGCCGTGGTTTGTGCCAATGATAAATAATGCTCTCACAGTCGTTAAGTATATTTTGTTATTGTACTGTTTGTTAAGCACGTTATTTGCATGTATAATAAATTTCTAAACTTTTACACACACACGTTTGCGTATGTATATGACACCCTTACGGTATATCTCATCAAAAAGATCCCAAAACTTTATAAAACTTTGTATCGGCCCCGCGATGCGGTGTGAGCGCCAGACGCCTGCAGTTTGATAAGCTCCTCCTTGATGAGTCGAGACACTTCCGCCTTGGCCTTGCTGACCGCCAGCTCGCTCGTCGATTCTATTGCAAGGTATAGCTTCCTCTCGCCCTCCGGTGGTGTTTTCCCAGGCGCGATGTACGTTCCTCTCACTGTCAGACCCGCCTCAGAATATTCTGAGATCTGAGCAAGAGCCTCTTTGCTCGTGACTCGCCACCTCGCTTGCTGCGGGAAGTCGTTGATCTCGAGCTCCTCTTCGTACTTGCGGAATGTTTGCTCGCCCGTTTCCACGTCGCTTTCCACGAGATCTTCCTCGCGCGGCTGATAATTCAATTTAGTGTTCAGTTTCGCCGCCAGTTGTTCCGCAACTGTTTTTGCCTGTAAAAGAAAAAAAAAATTATTTATTTACTAATCGTAAAATTACTGTAGTAACATTCATGAATAAAAATTGGAATTATTTTTACCGTAATAAGATTCGTAGGTCCTGCACCCTTGAGTATGGCTTCCGCTGCTTGTTGAGTAGCGCCTTTCGCCTCGGCGCCCAGATTCTTCGCAATGTTTATCTTCGACGCCAATCTTCTGGCCAATTCGAGCTTATCAGTGGCGCTAGGTATCGGTTGACCGGGCACTGAAATACTGGTCGCGGTCGGTTTGGCTATTTCACGAACGGTTCGCTTGGGCGCCAGCATACTCTCGATCTGTTGGTCAATATCGTTTTCTATGTCCTCGTCGTCGGAATCTTGCAGTCCTAATGCCGCTTTCTGGAATTTCTTCTTCTCATTCGCCAAAGCAGCCTCTGATTCGTCGAATTTAAATCCTTTGCCACTGAAACCACCACCAGTGTGAACCTTCTTCCCGTCCGCGGCTTGACGGGCTTTGTAACCCTCCCACAATTGACGCAAGGGTTCTGGAACAGGTACGCCCGCTAACTCGTACGCACGTAAAATATCACCGGCGTAACGTTCTTGCTCCGATGTAATAAAGGTATACGCGTATCTGTACACAGAGAAAACATACCATGTAATATAATATTATATAATAATATAATAAATTTAAAATAAAAAATAGTATTGCATAAAAAAATTCAAAGGTTCACCTTACCCTTTATTTCCGGCTCGACCAGTTCTGCCACATCTGTGCACGTAATCCTCGTAGTGATTAGGACAATCGTAATTGATGACTAATACCAAATGCTTGACGTCCAAGCCTCTAGCGGCGACGGACGTGGCGACGAGTAATTTCGTTCGTCCCGCTTTGAAGTCCAATATGGTTGAATCTCGGTCGCATTGGTCTATACCGCCGTGAAGAGACATGCAGGAATATGAAGCCTTCATAAGATCCTTGAGCAACGTGTCCGCGTTCTCTTGCTTGTCTACGAATATAATGGTGGAGCCTTTGTCTTGATAATGTCCAAGGATTTCAAGCAACTTATAGAACTTCTGATCCTCCTCGAGCACGACCACATGCTGCTCCACATCCTTGCAAACAACGGAACGTCCACCGACTTGCACCTCGACTGGCCTCGTGAGTATTCTCCTGGCCAGCGCCTCCATTTGCCGTGGGAACGTTGCGCTGAACAGCACCGTTTGTCTATCCGGCCTCACGTTCTCCATAATACGCATCACCTGCGGCTCGAAACCCATGTCGAACATCCTGTCAGCTTCATCGAGCACTACATACGTTACTCGACGTAAATTGGTCACTCGACCGCTATTGGCAGCAAGCATGTCGATCATCCTTCCCGGCGTGCACACGATAATTTCAGCCCCTCTCTTAAGTTCTGCTATTTGCTCGGAAATGCCAGTTCCACCGTAGACGCATACGTGCGATAGACCCAGTGATTTTGTAAATTTCTTCGAATCCCTGCCGATTTGCATGCACAATTCCCTAGTTGGCGTCATAATTAACGCGATCGGTCCATCACCGTCGGCCAACGGTGGCTGATCGAGTATGTGACGAAACATCGGTAAAAGAAAAGCTAGCGTTTTTCCGCTGCCGGTTTTCGCTATACCTATGAGATCGCGACCAGACATGATCGCCGGAATCGCCTGACACTGAATGGGCGTCGGTTTCTCATAACCGAGTTTCTTTAACACTTCTAATTCCTTCTTGGTCACGCCACATTGCGCCCAAGACTTGATAGGTTTCGGGCAACCTTTACCTTTCACGCGAATGCCCTCCAATTCTTCCTTGTACGCTTCCACTTCTTCCGGTGTCATCCTTGCTGCAAGTATATATTATACATTTATATATATTTATTAATTTATACAACAGAAAATAAATGATTTAAAAATATATTTAATCATACCGATCTCAGGCACTTCGACGTAGAAGGACTTTCGGAATGGTTGATAATCTGTTGTAGCATGATCAACTTTCGCTAATTCACGCTTCTGTTTGTTTGCTATACCGGCCGCGGTCTCGTGAAGATTCTCGCCCTCTTCTTCGCTGGAGTACTCCAAGCCATCTTGATTTTGCTCAATCAATTCTCCCTTCTGTTTCTGCACTTTTTTCTTAGCCACGCCAGTCACAATGACCACACCACCGCTCTGCGACGCAGAATTTGTGCCATTGTTGGCGTTTTTCGGAGCTTTACTATCAAACTTATTCACTTTTCTCACTTCTTCTTGGACCTAGCGAATTATAATTAGATGTAAGTATACATAGAATATTAGAATTGAATATGTAAATTATATCGATGCTTGCCTCTGCCATAAAAGCATCAAGTGGATCAATCTCCTCCTCTTCATCCTTTACCTCCTCCTTCACTTCCTCAACTTCTTCCTTTACACCTTCTTCTTTTGCCTCCTTGTTATTCTGTACCACAGGAGTCTCTTCGTCACTATCATCCTCAAGGGACCACTTTTTCATCGGTAGCTGAAGATTTGCCAAAATAGATGTCTTACCGTCTTTCTTGGTCGCTTCCAGCTCTTTCTTCTTCCTTTCCGCGCGCCACCTTTCTATCCTCTCCCTTCTCTTTTGCATTTCCAATTCCAGCCTTTTTTGCTCTTCCTCCTGCAACATCAATTGGCCACACACGTATATCGCTTGTATTTCTTCATCGTAATCTTTGAAGACTCACCTTGTCCAACTTGGTGTGATCAAACGGCAACTCCTCGTTGTCCCCCTTCTCTTTATCCTTTCTATCGCGCGAGCGAGACCTGTTCGATCGTTCTTTGCCAGAGCGCGAAGATTTCGAGCCTGTAAGACGCTTTTCTTTACTGTCTCCACTAGCATACCGAGAACAGTCAATGTCAATGAATTATTTTATTGTTACAATTAATTAACGTAAACATCTTGGATAAATTTGTGATCAGCGAAGAAAGCGAAACGCCATGAACAACATTGTTTCAGTTAAACTCTTTTCTTGTGAGTATACCGTTTTCTCTCGCGATCCCTGTCCCTCTCGGAACGCTCCCTTCTCTCGCCCCTCTCTCTGTCTCTATCCCGCGACCGACTCCTCCGCTCTCGATGTCGCCCCTTGTCTCTGTCCCTCTCTCGGTCCCTACTCCTGGACCGCCGTCGTTTCTTCTCAGGCTCGGCCGACCGCGATCGCGATCTCGATCTCGATCTCCGCCGGTGATGCCTGTCCCTGTAGGCGAACGTTCATTTCATTATTTAACATTGCGAACAACGAATTAAAGCAAAATACTTAACATAACCTCAATCGAAAGTGTCATCACTTACTTGTCGCTACTTCGCACCATGTTCGATCACGGATTCCGTTATGTTATTCTAATAAAACACTCGAAATATTAGTGAACTGAAGCTTTATCACGCACACATTTATTCTTGTTACTAGTCTCTTAATCTACGTATTTCCGAAATATCAACTGTATCAAGTTTCGAGTCCCCTCCGTTGGCTCCGTTTATTTCCAATCATCTCCAATTCCACACTCACCAGTCACCACACCACGCACGGCACGAACAGGCACGAACGCCACGAACGCACGCACACGAATCGAAGTCGCTGACGTCGCTGCACGTCGCTGTCGCGCCTCGCGCCGCTCGCGTCTGTCGCCGGCGGCGCTCCGATCGATACCTACGATTCGATATCGCGACTTTCGAGAATCGCAATTGCAATCATTTTCGAATTGAGCGTCGGTCGGCCACTTACGCGCACCGCGCTCTCGGGATCGTGTGCGTCTCGCTCCGTGTGTCGTCTTCCGCGAGTGTGTTGCCGTCCGTACGCGAATCTCGCGCGCGAAAAGTCGTTCACGAGGAAGATCGTCCCGCGTGGGAAGATCGTCGCGAGCCGTAAGACTGTGTGAGTTGAGACGGACGATCGGTGCTGACTGCTGCGCGACGATCAGCGTCGCGCGACTTCGCGATTGGCGATCCGACCGTGCCGCCGAGATGTCCAGCGGGTCCGTTTCTGCGAGCCTGGAGTGTCCCCGATCGAATCCATGTCGACGCGAGTTAAAAGAGCGATGCGTGACCGTCACGACGAGGTATGGACATATCCCGTAATTGGCTGTACTTACTCTTAACAGCGGCGGCTCGGGAAAGAGCCGCCATGTTATGTTTACTTCGGTGGAACTTTGCGTACGCCGATGCGTCGAGCGGCGTGTTGAATTGAGAGTTTTTCGAAAAAAATACGATATATGATCAATAAGCATCGAGCAATTGTAGTATCTAACGTTCCCGTTAACATGTCCATTAAGTTAATTTCGCGCTATCGCAGTTTCGATTTTTCACGCAATTAATATAATCATACAGACGAGTTTGTCGAAAATGCACTTGCGATAGCAATGATCATTTTTCACCGTAGCCGCGTACTTGCTCATATCAGGAAAAATGTAGCATAAAAGTAAAAATTATGCGAAAGTAACGGGAAAAGCCGGTGGTGCTGAAAAGACTATTAGAATCGTAAAAATGTCAAACATTCGTAATAAATCCTGATGCCTCATGTTGCGCAATGCGCAAGTCATTTTAGCACTCCGAGCTTCCGACTCCTTTGGACGCAACTTGATTTAGAGTTCTCTGCAATACCGGCTATCATTAAGTGTGCTTAATAGATAATTCTTCAATCGGTATATTACTACAAGATTTATCATAAGAGATAAATCGGTCAATGATCATGCGATTTTATTATCGATATATATATAATATTAATATATATATGTATATGTGGAAATGTTATAAAATTATTAGAAAATTAATTGTAGAAGTAGTAAGTTTATAAAATACATATACTATAATATTTTATAGAATATATATAATAAAACTGCAATATATTGAAAAAATGTTTATTGCAAAAAATATCCATATAAAATTTTATAACAATTCATTATTATTAAAAGATATATTTGTACTTTATACATATAAGAGCCTTTATATCTATATAAAAATACATATTATTATTGTCACAAAAATGCATATCTCTATAAATAATGATCAATCTTGTAATCTGTCTTGCAAGGTTCCTATTATATTATTTAAATAGTATAATATTTAACAATTAATTTGTGAACAAGTCCAATTATCTGATATTAATTTAGAAGTCACCTAATGCCAGTGAAGTTCTTAGAAATTTTTATCTATCAATTAAAATATCAATTGCGACTCGTCGCAATTTATTCGCGTTAACAAAACGAATTAACTAACTAATTGTTCATATGCCATGCTTCACGAATGTATAAACGATTCGTCATTGTCAATAAATTTATTTCGCTGCAACATTGCCGGAAATCGATCAATTTCCGTCGTGAAATCAGCATCATTTCGCGGTGTAATACTTCGCTTTCACAAAGGGCATTCTCGTCACGGTACCCTTGTATGTCTTCCCCCGAACCTCGACCAATACCCCGCCACCGAATTGCGCCAAATCCGGCGGCATGTATCCCATGGCGATCGGCCGGCCCAAAGTCGGACTTGGTCCACCGGAAGTGACGCTGCCCACACGTTCACCTTCCGGCGTCAATATGGGCGCGCCTTCCCTGGCAGGTGGTCCTTGACCTAGTAAGAGCCCGACGCGTTTCTTCGTCGTGCCCGTCTTTATTTGCGAAAGTATCCGTTGCGCGCCTGGAAAATTCGCCTCGGCCCTTCGTCGTTTTGCTGTGAGAAAAGAGAGGAAGATCGATATTTTGTAAAATTGCGATATAATTCGCGTTTCGCGTGACAAAGTTAGAGAAGATTAAACGCAAGCAAAGTATGGAACTACGCCGCTATTTAAAAGTGTTTAGAAGCGGTTAAAAGTGTAATTATATTCAGAGATTCATTAGCGATCTTTAGCGAGTCCGTACCGACTAGCCACGTAAGCGCAGCTTCGATTGGTGTAGTGTTTTCGTTGATATCGTGACCGTATAGACAAAGTCCAGCCTCCAGTCTGTGAAAATAAGCGGACAGTATCAATTATCAATTAAAGTTTTATTCTATTATTTTTATATTGTTTGCTATTATCTAAATCTTTTTAAATTATATTACGTTATCTCAATTACACGATTAAAGAGTATTATTTTAAGGCATGATATCCGCCTGTCTATTAATTTACCTTAAGCTATCTCTGGCGCCTAAACCGGCTAGCTTCACGTCAGGAATCTCCAAGATCCTTTCGACTAGGTTAATCGCGTCATTCCCAGGTACCGAGATCTCAAAGCCGTCCTCTCCGGTGTATCCACATCGTGAAATTCTGATACGGCTGCCTGATACTTCGGTTTTGACACTGTTCATAAACTTTAAGTTTCGAAGATCGATCTTTACCAATGATTGAAGGACCGTCGCCGCGGTAGGACCTTGAAGAGCTATCAAACCTTGCTCTCGGGGATCCAAGAAGTCGACGTACACGTGCTTACCAATCGTTTTGAAATCACCCTGAAAGCAGAGCATTTATTTTTAATTGTCTTGTCTGCCAAAATGAAGGAGCATGCAAATGTATATAAATATATAATATGTAATAGGAACCTTGCAAGACAGATTACAAGATTATTATTATTGATTATTATTTATAGAGATATCCAGCTTTGTGACAATAATTATAATATCTATTTTTATATAGATATAAAGGCTCTTATATGTATAAAATACAAATATATCTTTTAACAATAATAAATTGTTATAAAATTATATATAGATATTTTCACCAGACGCTCCAAAAGAAGTTGACAATCTTCATCCCGTCTTCCCGCGTTAGATACCACGAAGTATCTGTCTTCGTCGTCTCTGGTGATAATGAGATCGTCTAAAATTCCACCCTTATCGTTGGTGAAGACTGTCAAAGTCGCGGCACCGTTGCTTAAATTCTTGAGGTCACACGTGGTCAACGATTCCAAATATTCCCCGGCGTCCTTCCCGGAGACGCGCGTCTGTAGCATGTGACCGACGTCGAAGAGCGATGCGAACGATCTGGTGTGCAGATGAGACACTGCGATCGCCTCTCGATATTGAACCGGCAATAGCCATCCGGCAAAATTGACGATTTTGCCTAAACATTTATAGAATCACGTGGAATAAGATAATTCTGACTTTCGGTGCGTTAAATATACTTATGATAAAAATAATACTATGATAAAAAAATTGAGAAATTCTGGAAAAGTTATCTTATGTTATTTATTTATTTAACAAAGTTCTGCAATATAGTATGGTACAGATTTTAAGATACATTCAATTTAATATTAATAACTAAATCAGATTTGCAACTTACCTTGCTTTTCCACGTGAAGATCGTAAAGACAGGTCTTGCGAATTTCACTGACGGCCGACGTTGATGACAGCCGACGATGTTCCCGGTGAGTCGTTTCGGCGGCTGTACGAGGTGTCGTGGAATCGATCAAACAATTCGAATGCAACGTCGAACCACCGCTAAGTTTCTCCTTGACCCTCGACACTGTGGCGACGTTGCAGGTGTCGCGTACGCCTCCCAACGCGTGTAGACATTTCTCGAGATTCTCGCAGATGACAAATCTGCCGCGAGCAACGAAACGAAGCATGATTCTCTCTTAATGCTTTATCATTTACTAACCTGAATAACTCCGTGTAACTCAATGGCAAGCCACTCTGTCGGAGCTGTGATGACCCCGCGTGATATTTACTCCCAGACTCGGATGCGAGCTTTAAAACTTAAACGTTCAGATTTGAGCTGGAATGATGATTTTACGAGCACGCAATATACTCGTATATATGTAATAAGTAATCTTTCTGAAAATTTTTAATTACCCAAGCCGTTTACGTTGGCGCCATCAATTCATTATAACGCTTTAAAATTGACGTTAATTATCATTCTCTATTATTTTATGTGAACTTTTCTGTGAAATAAATTAATCTTTTTTTTTTTTGCAAAATGTCGAACGTTTTATAAATGAGTGAGAAAAGTTCATCGCGTGTATTCTTTTGTGAAAATGTGTTACGTAAAATTGAAGTAAGCCGTGTCTGCAAGTGTTTAACTACTCGATATCGTTACGTGTCATAAATTACAACATTTCTGTTTACTCCTTCTGTTATCAGTAAGCAGTTATTTCTATCTATATACGTAAGAGGGGTCATGGTACTAAAATCACGTGATAAAAAGGACTATTAATGATGATGGGAAACTATTGGCAGTCACGAGACTTGGAATGCTTATTAAATTTTTATTGTACCACGTAATAATAATAATAATATTAATAATAATAATAATCATGATCATCATCGTAATAATAAATTGTGACAATAATGACAATAAGAAATGGTAGTAATAATAGTAATAATCATTTATCATTGTAATAATAATAGTTCCGTAATAATAATAATAATAATAATAATAATGATACTTCATCATCGTCGGTAATAATCCAATGACAAATGTCAATATTTATATAGTAGCGTGTCGAACGGAGAAACGACCTTAAAAAACGAAGATAGTATCAATGTTCGTTCGTACATTTTGTTTTTTTAGCTTCCGCCGTTTTTTATCTTCTCGCTCGCTCTCCTTAGGATCTCTTCTACCTCTCGCTCTCGCATCTTCCACACGCGCATTCTCACTCGACTTCGCTTTCCTCTTTTATTTAATCTTTTTTTTTTCACTTTTAATCTCCCCTTTTCTCTCACACACACGCACACTTTCTCCCTCTGTCTCGTGTCTTACACAATAGCAAAATGTCCCTACACAGTCCGACGAATGTGTGTGTGTGTACGTTTTCCCGGTTATTCTCTTTAAATCAATCCTCACGATCGCATTTTGCTCGACGCTTTCCTCTTTTTTTTTTCCACCATTCTTCCTCGAAATTTACTAATTTCTTTTTTTTTCTTTTTAAATCCTTGCACGTGTTGACACATTCACTCACACTAGTAAATCGGTTTGGTAGTGGAGGGACCGGGGGGGAGGGGGGGGGGGAGGATGAGTTGATTGTGAGGGGAGGTGTTCGGTTGGCGATGGAGTAGTGAGGGATGGAAAAACGGGATATATCCGCGGGATTTGTACCGCACATGAGGATGCTGTAATCAGACAGATGATTGCAGGGGGGTGGAGGGGTTGAAAAACTGCAATACTGATTGAGAAGAACGGATATGTTGTGGTGAAAAAAATTAAGGCGTCAACGACGTCCCGGGTCCGTCGACCGATGGACAATTTAGCTCCTCTCTTTTCGAGAATCGCTCTGCGATGTTTAACTGAACGATCATTCGCGAAAAACTTTGTTTCTCGGTCGAGGGACCGGCAGACGCCGGCGATACCGCGAGCGTCGGAAAATCTAACAACGATCTATACGATCGCGAGGGAAGAAACTGAAACTGGCGATAGTGCGATCTGTGCGCTACAGAGAAAGTATAATATAACTATATGTTGCTTCGCGGTGTTTCTACGCGATTTTTGTTTCCGCTGTTCCGACTGAATTTTTTGTTTTTGTTTTTTTTTGCCTAATATTCAACCTGTTTTTTTTTGTTTGTTTCGACCTGTAACTATTGCTGTCCGAGCTACTTTTGCCTCCTGTCTCCTCTCCTCTCCTCACTCGAGCGTCCCCCGAGCGCGTCGATCTACCGGCAAAGAATTTTCCCAAATCTGGGCCCGTCCGCCAACTGGGATCGGACCCGAGGCACTCGTTCTGGTTGTCCGAAAGTCGCTCGATTGCGCATCGTACCGGCAGGATCGTCGCGCTGGAGAACGCGTTTCGCACGTCTCGTACGCGTTGCGTGTGTTGGTTCACATGTATGTACGTACATACGAACATACATACATACATACATACATATATGTATATTTTTATATATAGATATATATTCGGCTATTTGTTTTCTTTTGGTCCTGGTACAAAGGAAACGAGAATCACTCTCTTTTTTTTTTAAGTCTTTCGAAAGAGAAAAATTTTGCGATTTCGAAAAGTGGAAAGAAGTCGCCCAGATTTCGTGCAAATTTTGAAATACCACGAAAATTCCACGATCTCAAAACTTTTTTACTTTTGCATTTTTCATTCGGCCGTGACTTGATTTTTCTATTGAAACTTTTTTTTACTGGAGGGGAAGGGGACTCTGTTTTGTTGCCTGTCGACATGCAATGTGCAATCACCATCGAGAAATTCTCTCTCGCACTCTCTCTCTTTCTCTCTCTCTCTCTCGCATACACTTTCTTTCTCTCTTTCTTTCGTGCTGTTTCGCGCGCTCGCTTTCACTTACACTTCCTATATGTATACCTCGAGTTCGATAATTTCGTCTAAAATTCCATTTTCGCCTTAACTATACACAATAATCATAATATATAATAATAATAATCACGATTCGAATACATCATCGATCATTTTTCCGAATATAGATACAATAATTTCTTATTTTTCATCGTTTTCCTATCGCCTTGCTCTCTCTCTCTCTCTCTCGCGCGCTCTCTCTTTCGCATTCTCTCCCTCTCTTTCTCTCTCTCTTGCAATTACATCTTGCAATAATAATCGTTTAGGTCGTCGTATATCTATACATATACATATACATATATATATATATAATTTATAAAATGAAAATAGGTACAATTTTGGACGCTTTTCTTCGTCGAAAAAACGCTCCGAAAATTTTATTTTCGCTTAATAATGCCCATCGGTTGCGATTCTAGTCCACTTGGTAGTAAAATTTTGTTTATTCTCCTATCTCTCACAAGCATTTATATCCCATTTTCTCGTACTTAATTTTTCTTTCTCTCTCCCTATATATATATCTTTCATTCTCTCATTCTCTCGATTTACCCTCTTACCAGCAAGCACATTTATCGATATATTCTCCCATTCGCTCAACTTATCTCACAACGTTTCAGTCGCAGGCAAACCCTTGTTCTTTCATTCACAAAATTGCAGCGATAGTCGCCCTCGCGATATATATCTGCCTTTCCGCCGCTAATTTCTAAAAAAGACCTTAAATTTAGGCTGGCCGATCGCGTGCTTCCGGAATCGACGAGCTTCCGTTTTGCGCTTACGAAGGAACGAATTTTCCGATCCGGGAGCATTTTTCCATATGATTAACCGCATATTTACAATTTAATTGCGGGTCAAATTCCTCCATTCATCTCCCGTCCATAACGATCCGAGGCGTTAATTAACGAGTATCGTAGTCGCGTGAAAGGTCGTCCAGCCGGAAGTCGTGAGGCACGAAGAATTTATTCTCGCTTATAAACTTCTTTTCCTTTCGCTTATCTTCGATCTACACGCCCGCGAATCGGCCTCGCGATCTTGTCGAAATGATCTCCGATAGTTCGAGTCACTTTATCGGACGAGGTTCCTCAATTGTCTTGCCGTATAAATGTGATTTCTCTCATCGCCGTAAAAGACACTTTACATCACACAGTTAAATTTCATTTCATGTATTGGAATTTCTCAAGAGGATTTCGAATTTTGCGAGAGAAAATTTTTGCGCGAAGATCACTTTCACCAAGCGCCAAGCCGACCCGCTCCGCAGACATTAACATCTAACAAACTCTTAATCCTCGATTGTATAAGCCTAAAAGGATGTTTCAAGGATCGGATCTTTTCCCATCCTCGATCTGTGTCGCGCGTTGATTACATCTTTTTCTCGCGATCATCGATCGTGCAGTGTTCAATGGCGTCTATGCGCGAGCGCGCGTCGCGACACGCGCATAGACGCGTGCGGTTCATTGGATTTATTACTTACAATCTAATTACACATCGAAAGTAATGTCGCAATAATGCTCCAACGTGGAGTCCACTTGTATTTTGATATGTTCGAGAGAAGAATCGCGATGTCTCTCCGTCGAGGCCTTCTCTCGCGAGGTATCGTGCATCGAACCGTCAAAATTTGAGAAAAATCCTTTGAAAAAATATTCGTAGTCGAAAATGGCTATTTTTGTCGAAAGTGCTGTTTTTGCTGATCGCTAGAGAGGGCCTCGGCGAAGCGTTAAATACTTCTTTTTCTAATAAATTTTGCGCCGCATAATCAAGCACAACTTTCGAGCGTTTTCTAAATATGGAGCATGATAATATGATTGATCGACAAGAATTGAGCATGTTTCTCGGCTAAAAGAGAGTGTGTAGTAACGGAGGGCGAACTGGATCGGGCGAATAAAATCGGATTGGTATTTGACATTTCAATCGGACATAAGAATAATTGCTTCTCGAACTAGAGGAGCGGGCGCCCGAGATTTTTTTTCACTCGCAATCCTGTTCACCCGCCCGTCGCTATACCTGGAAAGGTAATTGACGGTCGACTGATCGACCAAAAAGACTGATTCCAGTAGCTATCGATACACGCTAATTTTTGAATTCTCATCGAACACTGCCCACGTACGCGAGACGGAATCGGGTCGTCACGTACGTGGTACGGGAAAAGACTAGATTTATTTTTTTTTCCGAATTTCGAATTTTCCTTTCACGCGTGCCCGGAGCTCCTTCCATCGTCACAGAAGCACCCTTTTTCGTTTCATCAACGTATTTATCATTATCATCATCATCAACAACAACAAAAAGAACGTTCCTAGAGATACGCATCCGTTTGTAATGCGTTTTCGTGCAAAAAGGCTCTCGCGATTTCACAATTTGGATCTCGCTCTTCCACCGTTAGTCGCAATCATCGACCATTCTCGTCCTCATCTCGATAGATATTAAATCTTCACATCGTAATCATCAATGAGACATCCTACACAATGCGGAACTCGCTCGTAACCGAAAGAGATTGGTATGAATATAATTGTATGACATGCTTCCTTCTTACTCTCTCTCTCTCTCTCTCTCGCTCTCTCTTTCTCCTTCTCACTACATAGTACTCGTTTTACGATAGCTTTTTTTTATTTCCGTACTTCTTTTTCGCGCGTCGATCATTTCTAAAATTCGAAAGTGTATGTACGTAGCTCGCGACGTGCATTGGTGCTTTGAGGATCCCATAGCTTCTCTCTAATTGCAACCAGAACGCGACCGGAACGACCAGCGAGCAGAAGAACCGTTCCTCTCTCGCTTCGACGTTCCTCGTCGCGATTTCTGGTTCCTTTAGCTCGTCATCGCACCTTTCGGACACTAATCCTCCATCGAAACATCTCAAATCGCGCACACCGCTCACCGTCTCGATCGATTGACTCCGTCTGGTGTTTAATTCTGCCGCACATTAATTTGGCAATGGAAGATTTTCGAGATGTAACAATTGCACGATTAATTTCAACAATGTATTATTTTATCGAAATCGTAAGTGAAATATGTGCGATCAGGCGAGAATTTTTCTTTCAATACTACGAGTGTAACACTTTCGAGAGATCCTAATTTCGATTTAATCCTAAATGCTAAATTTTATTAATTAACAAGAGTAGATGATTAATGAGAATTAGTGCGACAGCACTAACTGAACGAAGCGCGTTCGAGACGGAGAGGGCAATCGAAATAGTTATTTCGCCGATCGACAATAAGGGACGTATCAAGAGTCGATAGCGATAACTAATAATAGTGGTAATAGTATAACTAATAGCATTAACTGATAATAACTAATAGCGTTAACTAATAACGAATATCGCCGGGTGTACGAGCGCGCTGTATCGAGATCAATGTAATATTAATTTCACTTTAGATCACATATACATTTATATATATTTTTTGTATACTTAAAGAAATATTCCGAAGTATCGAATTTGCTTGAACATATCCGAAATTTCGATACATCGAGCGATAAGAGGGAAGGATTTGTAAGAGCATCCTCCGTGCTTGCGAGTTAAGCGTTCGTACGCCCGGTATTCTCATCGACAAGGTATAATAGTAGGTAACGATAAAATTTAATAAATGCACGTGTCCTAAACTCCATGTGACAATCGTCAGCGTATTTTAAAGATTCGACATGTTATCCTGCCTCTCTCTCTCTCTCTCCCTCTCTCTTTCTCCCTCTCAGGCAAAAGAAGCCGTCGCGCGTGCGAGGAACCACATTATACGAAAGATGAATTACAAAACAAAAAAAGAGGATGTGAAGAAGGGAACTAATCACGGTCGAATTGACACAAAGAGAACTAGACATGTATCACATCGATTTACCTAATGTACCATACGCGAACGAGGACAGAACAGTTTACAACACGGACTCTAATACATACAATGCTGATAATAATATAATAATAATTATAATATTAATAATATTGTTATAATAATAACATATAATATATAACATAATATAATAATAATAATAATAATAATAGCGATGTACTAACATTTCCTAGCGACAGCGGTATAGCAGTAGGTGTAGTAATAGGAGTGATGGTAGTGTTGGCACTACGCTATTATGTAATAGTTGTGGCAGGCTAAGCCTGCGTGAGTGTATGCGTCTAAGGCATGAGAGGAAAAAAAAGGAAGATTGTAACAAAAATAAGAATGGAGTTATCGACTTAAATTTAACATGACCTAAGCGTCTCGTCGGACTGTAATTAATTTTCATAAATCAAGGACTCAATCTACGTGAATAGTAACTAAAGAACCGTAGTTTTGTATACCATTGCATGTACGTGTGTGTGTGTGTGTGTGTGTGTGTGTTTTTGTGTGTATGCGCGCGCGTGTGCGTGTACAAAATGACCTACTTTACTTCAGGATGAGTGCAGCTCGAGAGTGGGGCCGCGTTTAACTAACGTAACGGTTACGCTTAACAAAGTAATTAATTAATAATAGGCAGTAACTAATCGTAAAAATCTCTAGCTTGCTTTCATCGTTTTTAAACCAATTCTGACTAGCAAACGTAACTCGACGAGTTCGCTCGCCGAACGCCGCGTTCCCCGCCACGCTCCCTTTTCCCTTTTTACTCCCCCACCCCCCTCCCCCCAAAGTCTTTCCCTTATACCGATTTTTTTTCTCATTAAATAGGAACTCTCTCATAGCGAGACCGAAAAGTAATCGTCACATAGAGACTATAATTGCGTGGTCTTCAATAGTAATCTCGCGGTTCGGCGAACGAAAACGTTGCGAAGAGACGATTGAGGAGTACGTATAATGGGACATTGGAAGAAATAAAAATTCAATCCTCGCAACTCGTCGATTCGAACGAGAGCTTGATTTTCCCCGCGGCGACGTATCGGATACGCACGCGATAGTAAAATGAGATCGAGATTAGTCCCCGTACTCTTCGTCTTCTATAAACGAGGAAAGTGCACTGGTATACGTAAAAAAGGGGAGGAAGGGCACACAGGAAGGAACGTAAAATTTGAGTAATAATGTCTATACGCGGCGCACGCGATACACATGCGCGATACGCAAGTAAAAAGATCAAGGAAAGCGAGAGTCGAATTTGATATACCTAGCGTAAAGAAAGAACGAAGAAAAATACGTATAAATCTCGAATTAACAATAATCCATCTCCGTCTTTCTCAGTCGTGCGATACCACGCGCATAACTAAAAAGAAAAATTAACAAACATAATGAAAACCAATCTCGCGCGATCGTTAACAACAATAAAATTTCGATGCCTAATTGTCTAATAATAATAATTATTATTATTATAGCAATAATAGTAATAATAATAAAGGAAGAGAGAAGGATTTTCTCGAATTTCCATAACGCGGTATCGTGTTCCGTTTTCTACTTTCGTACCTAAATATTTATTCGCTATAAGTAACGTATAGTCAGTCACTTAATCAGTGTGTAATTTGCATGCACGCGTGTGTACGTGTGTAATTAAAAAGAAAAGGAGCCGCGTGAAGAAGGGAAAGAACAAAAAAAAGGGGGAGAATCTCGAAACGTGGCTTCTCTTCCCTTACTACCGCTTCTCGTCGATTTACTTAAGAATTATTATTTTGTAACATATTATGGCTTCGACGATCCGAACTTTAAATCGAGGCATTGCTTCTTGGATTTTTTTCTTTCTCTCTTTCTCCCTCTCCCTTTCGTTTCTCTATAAAATACGCCTCCAATTGCCTTCTGGCAATCTCGTTGTAATAATAATAATTATTAATAACTAATAGTAATCATAATAATCGTAGGTTAACCGCGGTATCGAAAGGCTGGGGCTCGCTTGACGGGCTCTCGACGTTTTCAATTTTTGATTGTTCCGTTTTTATCTCTTTCCAAGCTTGTCGCGTATCTTCGCCGATCGAGGATCGGATTTTCTCTTCGAGCATGTTCGAAACGTACGTACGAGATCCCGCCCGGCAGCCTCGCCGGGAAAGCGTGAGGGTGGGTATTTTTTTTATATGCAAAAGGAAAAACTCGACGGAACAACAACAATCGAAGCTTCATGAAAGATCCATTCGCACCGTACATTCATCTTTTTTTGCTTTTTGAAAGTTTGTCATTTTTGCTTATACAAGGATCGGCCCGGATCCTGGCCGGCGGTTTTGACACAACGAAAAGAGGCTACGTTTTGTCAGCAACGCGGATATTTCCTCGTGTACGGTCCCGCCATCCCGCCAATTTCACAGATTGCGTCTCCAGCATCACATTAAAAAAAATTTTTTTTTAATTCATCGATTCTTTTTAATTTCCCTCTTTATCTCTTCTCTGCGCGCCGAGTGAAATACGCGCTCGCGCAATCCTATGGAAAGTTTTCTTCTCTCTCCCTCCCTCTCTCTCTTCTCGAGCCTCCTCCTTTCATCTTTCTCTCTCCTTCTGTCTCCTCCTTTCTTTCTCCTCGCATTAAATAAGTACCGATTTCGCCTGTCCGAGTTGACACCCGTCTCGGCTTTGTACCCTCTTTTGACTAGAATTGAATTTCGAACGGAGGATCGCTCCCTCTCTGTCGCGATCTTCTCGGAGGCTCGAGATCGTTTCCTCCTCCCTCCCTTTTTTCTTTCTTTTTTTCTGTCAAACGATGCTGGCCGGCGGGACCGGAAGTGCGTCGGTGTGTTTGCCCAAAAGGGGACTTCGACCAAACTCAATCGATACCATTAAACCTGCACGCGCATCCTCGTCGCGCTCTTCGGCGTGAAAAGATCGTGCAAGGTGGTTTGCACGCTTTTAAAGTGTCGCCCTCGTCGCAACGAGGCTGCGCGTCGAAAATTAACGATAACTTGCGCTGTATTACTCGGTAACTAACTGTACGTAAAAGTCTGAAATCAGAAACTCAACGTTCGCTTTTTTTTTGGAGTCGAGGTCAAGTCGCGTTCCGTTCCATTATCGAAGATAATTAACCGTCAAAGGAGTCGCAAATTAGATTATTTTCAAAGAATTTTCTAAAATTTTCCAAAGCATTTCTCGAGAACATAGAAATAAATCGGTAATATTTTTATAAGAAATTCCAAAATTCTCTTTTTTTGTTAAAAATAAAAAGATTTTTCCCGATATCCCTTTTAATTTTCTCTAACGAGGAACGGAACGCGGCTGTGCCGCTGGACTCGCAACTAAGTTTATCGCGAACGGACGTGAGACAACATTGTATATGGTGAGGGGGGGGGGATGAGTGGTTGGGACGGTGGGTGAAGGGGTATGCTTTGTTTCCTGCGGGAGCGTGATGAGGTGGATTGGTTCGCCGGTGGGGACGGGTGGTGGGGTATTTTGTATTTGTGTAGAAAAACAACGTTGTATAAGTGAAATAACTCAACGTTGCACTTGAAAGACCAATAAAGTAATGGGGGTGCGGGACACCTGAACACGCGTTGCCCGAACGCGGTCGCGATCTTGTTGAGCGGGCTGAAACAATCCTGAGAGTCGAACAGGTTAATCGTCCGATGCCAGAAGAACCGGACGGGTTTCCCAAAACTTCGCCGGATTTGGCGCATTTTCCTTTTTCTTTCTTTTGTTTTTTTTCTTTTTCATGTTCACGTTAAATACTCGGCGGAAATTTCGGATCTGGAAATCTCGGCTCGCGTGTTCAGGTACCCTCCGATTCGCGTCCGAGTCCCAAAGTCCCTGCTCGTTGATCTCCGTAGTGAGTGCCTTCGCGATTTCTTTATTGGATAGATGCGGTGCGCGCGGTATGCGCGGCGCTACCGCTACGGCTCTTACTTATATACTGGAGTACGTGTAATTAATAATTATTCATGTGTGTATGCGGTATACGGTTAACTGTTAATTAAGTCATCTTGAATGATTACTGTAATTAATTAATTGTTATCAGTTAGTTAAATATGGCTCCACCGTGCAATCGTCTATCTCTCTCCTTTCTCCCGCTATCTCTTCCACTTTCCTACCTTCTTCGTCAGCTCGTTTTCTCGCGCCTACTCTCAGAGTATACAACGTACACGTTGGCTAAGCTACAGACACTTAGTACACTTATTATCATATTTATTTGTTAAATGTCGATTGAATTGTGAAAGGAGAGGTTGCGAGCGACCGGTTTGGTAAGATTGGAGAACTTTTTTTTTTGAATTTTGATTTAGGATATGATATTTTCTCTCGAAAATACGATCGAATTTTTTTGCACCGGTCGTTCAAGGTCCAAAAAATCAGAGGTCGTCCGGGGAGGGTAGAAATGTTTTAGCCAAACGGTGGATCGGGAGAGGTTTCCGGTAGGAAGTTGCGCACGAAATGAATCCGGTATACTCTCGGTCGTGCCACTACCCGATTAAACGGTAGATAGTGTACGACGAGATTCTGCAGACACTGAAAAAGACCACGTGCTTCCCGTATACTTACTTATTTAACTGTTTAACTGCGGTACACTGTGATTACTGTCCTACTATAGCACTACTAATTGTGAGTTATACTTGAGAACTGTCTGTTTACTGTAACGGAAAACCCTGACGAAGGCACCCACTCAGCGGACAATATACTAATTCATCTCACACATTCTCGTGTTCCGTATTTTTTTTCTACGCCGATATTCACAGTTATACGCTTTTGATTAATTCGCGATTGTTTCTTTACATTCGTAAGTCGTATAATTTCATCTGTCTTCTCTAACCGATTATCGATTTCTTTCCTTTTTTTTTATTTAATGCCAAATAAACGGACTCGGCCTTTCACCTCGGACACGCATGCGGGGGGTTGCTCGGATTCAGGTTAAAAGAAACACATTCTCCTGAACGGAAGTATGAAGAATATTTTGAAAAGAGTATCGCCTCACCACGGGGAGATCACGCGATATGATCGAGCCGATCGATGAATACGATCGAGCATCGTCTCGTGTTCGCATGGTCTATCCGTGACGAGACAGCGCGATGGGACCGCACGCTCGTCGTCGTCGACCGTTAATTGTGTGGATTGTTTGGGATCATGGCAGTCGCTACTTCTTCACGACTTCGATCGATCATAAGGTTTAGAGTCTCTGGATGCTCTCCGTTCACGGTGTTTCCCTCTCTCTTTCTTTCCCATCCGCTTGGTAGCCGAGATAAAAATCCACATTTACATATTCAACACTAAACATGACCTCTGGATTCCTTCTCTTGGCACAGAATGCCTTTTAAGAGATAAAAATCGAGGAGTCACATTTAATATTAAAAATATCGAGAATATGGATTATAATCAATTGAATTTTGATTGCGCCAAACGTTGCATTTAGATGTCAAATTCCCAAATCGGATTATCTCGGCTACCTCGATTGTTTCGATCTGCCAGGAACCTCGGAATTTTGCCGGTATGCCAAAAAGTTTTCGCGGTCGTTGAAGTCTCCGTATCTGTCTGCGCGTTTTCCCCGTTGACTCGCCGCCGTCATCTCTCTCGAAGTTCTCTCTCCGGGGTCAGGACGAACGCGTGTATGCGGTGTGAGGTCGAATCGACTCGCCGAACGACGGAGCCCATCGCCTTAACAACTATGGCTCTTTCATTTATATAGTGGACATTTAAACAACTTATTCCGGTTTTTAATCACGGAGGCTCGGTCAGGGTCACCGCGTGAAAACGCGAATGCCGCCGAGGCGCTCGCACTGCTAGACTGTCGGTTTTATCATATGCTGCGCACTTACGATACACACTGCCGCGAATAATATGCACATACGTCGTACGTCGCGTCGTGTGCCGTTGCCCCCAGCAAATATTGCCGCGCAATCTCATGCTGCACCGCAAAATCCTTGCGCCGGGCGCGTGCGCGCGCGCGCACACGATCGTACATGATATGTATTCGCGTGTCGTGAGATTATTTCATTAAAAAATTAAAACCCGATCAAAAACAAACCAACGGTTTTTGCTTGTAAAGCCGCACTCGAACAACGGCCCTTATGCAATTGCCGCTGCCACATTCCTCTTATGTGTTCCTCATATGGTTATTACACCTTTCGTGATTACGTCTCGTGGAACAGGGGTCTCTAGGTGGCATCCAAGGTGCCTCTCTATTCTCTCTCTCTCTCTTTCTCTCTCTCTCGACGAACAAAGGGCTTCGAACTTCATTCGCCGCTTTGTCCGTCACACTTCTCAAAATCTTTTTCTTCCTCCCTTTCGCTCGTCATCGACTTTCATTGACGAAATTCTCTGGCACCTCGCCACCTGTCCGTCGTCGGAACTCAGAGCCCGACGAAGAGGCCGCCCACACGTCACATCCGGGTACTCTCGTGTCAAATCCGGGATGTGTTTTGGGCGTGCGCACTCGCGCTTATCTCACGCGAGTACGCACGCACCGTTCATCATCGGTACTGCATCCAAACGTATGCCAAAGGCCGCGAAATTTTGCTGCGTTTACACGTACCTTACGTGTAGCACTACGAGCACAAACGCGTGTGCCGTTATATCATACCACGAATTTTGCTCTTTCTTCCCAAATTACCGTGAAAAATCGATCAATGTTTTCCAACGGCGCCCGAGAAGACGCTTCTCCGCCTGAAAAGGAGCAAGGCTTCTTACCCTCTCGGGAAAGGCCCGGATACCTTTTCCTAGGCGGATCGGCTGTTTTCTGCATGACGCGCGCAAAAATATAACGTTATTATATGGCCGAATCGTGTCTTTTCAAAAATTCCTTTTTAGGCAATTTACAAAATTAATTGGCTTTACATATCCGTAGCGTGTGTAATTAAGTGTAGACAAGTGTGCTTCAAGTGTATAAGAAGTGTATAAAATTGTGTTCTTGTACTTGTACATTGTATGGGTGAACACGCGCGCACGCACGCACGCATGCACGCGTGCTCGTGTATTGAGAACTGTTTGAGCGCGCGGGGTTGCACGCTCGTGGACCAGGGCAACTTCGCTTTAACTTGTGTATCATTGGGACGCGCGCCCCGGCGACGCGGGGCACGCGCACGTTCCTTGTGGTGTATCCTGTTTGCGTTGGTTTCTGTCACTGTTGTTATTGTACTTGTTCCTTGGCGAGAATACCAATTCTACCGCGGCCGCGTGCGCATTCGCGCAAGCGTAACCGCGGATTTTTCGTTTGATTCGTGAAGGTCGAGTCGTATTTGTAAGTGTGTATGCGCTGGGAGTATGCACCAGCGCATCCGGGCTATGGCACTTTTTAGATTATTTAAACATTTAGCAAATTTACATGAAAGAGATTAAGATTATGGATAGGGCCGATTTTGCAGGCGACGTCGCGCTGTGGATTTTCCTCATCATATATATACCTTTCTGTATATATATATTTATTTTCATCATTATTACCATTAGTGGGCCTCTTTTCGACTACTTGCTAGTCGTGTTTCCACGAGTCGGGCTACGGTCGGGCGCTTCGGGTCGTCCGTGACGCCTCGGGGGTTTTCCTCTCCGGATTCTCCCGTCGTTAGGCGCTCGTGAGCCTCCGTCTCTCCTCTTGTATCTCGTCGTTGCTCACAGCCGCTTCCTTCTCTTCCTCATCGTCGTCTTAGCGCGGCTCGCCGCGCCTCTCTCGCGACGAAGACGGACGACCCAACCGTCTCCTCAGATTTTCCACGGTCTTTCGCGCTTTATCCGCTTCCGCTTTATGACCGCGAGCTCGTCTTGCGTCGCGGCTCGCGGACGCCGTGTGTATACGTCCCGCCGTCTCCTCTTCTTCTCCTTCGTCGTCGTTAAGGCCCGAAAATCTCACGCGGGCGCGTTTGCGCCACCGGCCCCCTTACGAGTTACGGGCATATGTAAATCAATATATTTGTAAATTATTTTTTTGTGCTTTTTTTCGCGGTGTGACCCGCATTTTTTTTATTATTACTTTTTCTTTATCTTTATCCTCGCTTACTTCTCAGTTGATTACAGAACATACACTACTAGATCTATTGTTTAACGCGCTTGTGTGTGTGTTTTTTTCCCTTGCATTACCTTTCGTTTTAATTTAAAATTATGGTACACGTTCGCGGGGCACGGGCCGGCGCCTCGGGAATTCTTTCTTCGCGAAGATGTGTTCATTTAATTCGCGCGATCGGGGGAGAAGGTTGGGAAACCTTCCCCTCCGATCGTTACGCTTGTCGTTTTACCGATTGAAAAAGCAACCCTCGGCGCACGGCAGGATGCACCGGTCGAAAACAGTCGTCTGTCAATCGTTTCATGACCGCGATCATCATGAAGGATTCCGACGTGGTAGTGGTGGTGGTAGTGTTTTGTATTGTTGTCGTTATTGTTTTATTAAATTTTTTTTTTGTGATGGTGATATGGTGGTAACTAGTAAACGCTGACCTTTTCCATCCTTCTGTTTCTTATTTCGCTCTTTCGCGCTCTTTACTACCTGTTTCGTGCACCGTTCTTAATATCTCTCGACGCTCGGTTAAGGACCGTGAAAATGAAATTACGATTCACTTCGAAAATCGTTATTGGATGACTCGCGAATTCCAAGACTCGAGAATTTGCTCCGCGCTTCGGTCACGCGAGCGACACGTGCTAACAGCTTCGCCTAACTAAATTCTATTCACTCGCTCCACATTCTCAAACTCACCGATATTGACCGGCATTCCTTTACTAAACGGATTTCCAAATCTATTAATTTTGCATTCGCTCTCTTCCAGTTTTTCTCACGTCTCTTTCATTCTCAGTTTCGTGCAGCACGCTCGCATCTTTCGCACAGAAGCGCCTCACATTTTTGCCATATACTACTTATCATATGTTTCATTATTCGCGATTTTTTTTGTAATTATCCGAAAAACAATTACGCGAAAATTTTTTTGTTGCGATAAAAACTTTCTGAAAAATCGATCCCTATAGTGTTAGGCGGGCGTCGAAATGTGCGACGATTGTGTTTTAGATGTTTTCCTATATCGATAGCTGTACAATCCATCGCAATGCCGTGTGGTGTGTGTCTGTGTGTAAATGTATCAGTGTCGAGAAAAAAAAAGAATTTCCCGATCGGTGATACCCGCGAGAGACAGCGAACGCTCCCGCACGCGACCCTTCCCTCGGGTGATGGTAAAGTCCACCCTTCAGGGCGGCGGCGGGGATAGGGGGAGGCGGAAGCGATCGCCAATCATCGTGGGCACGCGCCGACAACGAACAGAAGCTCTGGTTCGATAAAAAACGATTATCGTTGGTTGCGTGAACGAGGTGTATGCACTCGTCCAGCTTTAGGTATTTACATAGAAACTAACCCTATTTCGCATTATGTACGTTCGTTTAAGTTTACCAGTAAATTCTCAGTTTATGCTTGTGATATCAAGGTGTATTTACATACTACTTAATCCGAGGAAAAAACGCCCTGTAACGCAAAAACTTTAATAACGATCAATGAATCGACCCGCGGTTGCGATCACCGGAACTCGAGGAGGTCCGCCTATTTCTCTTTTTCCCGCAAAAAATTAAGATAAATTCAAAGATTATGAATTTCCCAAATTTTCCGACTTCACGCTTGATTTCACGTAAGATCCTAATTGCGATAAGAATGTTTTCGAGAAAAGAGCGAATTTCAGTAAATTTTTTGGAAGGGAAATATGCGAACGTATCCGTCGAGTCCCGATCGCGAGACGAGTGCGATTGTTAAATGTAGCTTTGACGATGAATCCTTTAGTGATCTTTTCATCTCTCGTCCCAGATGGTCAAAAAGCCTGGCTATCCGGCGGCTTTTCGGCGCGTGTCTTTTACGTTCAACGAAGATGACGACGTTAGGTTATTTTCGTAATTGGCGAACAAATGGTCATGAAAGATGGGAAGGAGAAATATATATACGTTATAAAAGGGAAGAATTTCTTTTGTGTTAGATAATTTCTCACAGTTCGTTTCCCGGAAAAATATGATTTCCAAACGTAGCGAGAGAAAAGATTTTGCTCGTAGGTGAAATTTCACTTGATGAAATTTGGAGAGTTCTAACAGTTTTTGGGGAACAAGGTGAAGGGAGGACTTTCGGATGGAACGCGAGGATCGAAGGGGCCCGGGATGATTTTCGAAAATGAGCCGGTCAACGAAATGTCCCGTCGAGAGTCTCCGTAAAGGAAACGACAACAGTAACGCAGTCGACACTGATATGATCAAGTTCGGCATATTATATCATTCAATTCCGCATTCTGTTCAGTCCACGATTGCCAATCGACGAAACGAAAAAATCGAATCGACTTTTCAATGCTTTGGCCTTTCTTTACTTTATTACTTTTGCTTCCATCGCGTAATGTAAATCTCCGTCGGTTTTTACTTTCTTTCAGAAATTCGCATTTTCGTGATCCGAGAAAATTGTTTCCAATGAAACGTCAAACGTGATTCTCCCCGGTGTTTTTTTTTTTTTAACTACGGTCAGCGTCTCGTCTTCATCTCGTCTGGTCTCATCGAAAGATAACCCCGTCAAAAGTACGAACGATCCATAAAGCTTTAAAGTCGAAAATTCAAAGAGATGGACAGGGCGACGAAAGGTTTTTGGTCGGCTTTCGGGAGATTCGGGATTGAACGTCGTGAAAAAGGGTATTTTGAGAGGGTAATAGGGCTGGTTCTCGAGTCTCTAAAAAGTTCGCTCCACGATCAAACCTACGGACTTTTCTTCATATTCTTCCTCTCCCTCGTCATCCTCATCTTCGTATCATCTTTTTCTTTTTGTTCTTTTGTTTATTTTTGTTCATCCACCTTCTTTATTTCCTATTCGTCTTCTTCTTATTCTCCTTCATCCTAAGTATTGCGAGAACGTAACGGTATATTGCAAGTAAAAGTTCAAAACGACGCAAGAGTTTTACGCGTTTCAGATTATATTACCCGGAAATAAAAAAATATTTCGCTTATAACGATCACAGGACCTCAGATTACCTGAAGCATGCCACTCTAAAATCTCACTCTCGTCTTCGCATTCGCTCCTCCTTGATGCTCACGAAGCATTCACGTTTACTCGATCAGCCCATTCGCACGACGGCGCGCCCGCGCGCCTACGCCGATCCCAAGGTCGTTCATTTGTAAAATCATTCACGTATTCGTTCGTTCTCTCCCTCTCTCGCTCTCCCGCCCTTTCTCGCGTTCGCACATGCCACTTCTCCTCCGCTACGTTCGCGACCTGTGCTTCGTCGCATTCTCACGTCGACAATGCTTGGGATCGCGTAAAACTTTTAACGCGGGCGCGCGCTCCGCATTCGCTCGTATTTCCCTTTCGCCTAACTATCCTAGTCTCATAGACCCTATATTCATTATTTATAATATTTATATATATAATATATATAATATTTAGCATTTAGTTTTTTTTTATTTCTCTCTTCTTCTCCGCGTCGCGTGCTTTGCTCACGAAAAATGCTTGCTCTTTCACGCTTACCGCACCTTCAATTAAACGTGTAAGTGTGAATGGGTTTCGCCCGTTTTTTTTTTGTCTCTGTCATACTCTTCATACTCTGTATGTATATATAATATATATAATATAACTGTTTGTAATAACTATATTTTGTTTGTTCGCTTATGAGCTAATAGTTTTCGTGCTACCGACGAGCACAAGTTGCGCGCATTATATCTTCACCTTAAAAGTGTGCTGCTGATGAGTTTCGTAATATATATGTATTGTACATGTGTACATATGTGTTATGTTTATGTGTAATGTATTTACGTGTGTTTCTTGTGTGTATGCTCGTGTGTGTGCGTACGTATCTGTTCCGACGCGTTTACGTTCCGACGACGTTCGTTTCTCGTGCGCGAAATGTCAACGTCGCTTTGTCGTCGTCGCGCGAAAACGTTGATCGCAAGTGAGAGAACGTCCGTACGGATTGCGTCGCCGTCCGTCTGTCACACACACACGGGGAAGGGGATTTTCGGTACGTATATAATTAACAACCGTACAACGCGGACGACACGACACCACTCGCCGGTGGTGGAAACCGTTCGTCGCGACCGCGCGACGCACACGTCACGATGAGCCTGCGTACGTGGGTGTTATTGGGTGTGTGCGATTCGCTTTTTAAGCATCACGGGAACTTTTTTTTACGATTTAGGGGGCTTTAGGGGGTGGAACCTTTTTAAGCGCGGTTCGGTGGTGATAGACGTATCTATGTATAATTATATATAGTATATATTTATATATAGTTTAGGTTTGTTGAGCCTGGCCAGCACGGGACGGTCGAGGATCGCCCGTTGGACCCTCGGCACCGTCGGCATGCCGCTCGATCGGCTCTTGTACTAAAAGATCATAGTACCTCGGGACGCACCCCGGACCGTCCCGGAAACGGGACGTCCGGGATGACTTAATGTTGTTTTTTTTTTTTAAGCAGCTTCTCGTTAGTTATTATGGCACGTTTCGGAAGTCGAGGCGGTGGTACGGCAGTGGCGACGTGTCCTGAGAATCCTAACGAAATACGAGGACGAATGTTGAAAACGCCGTCGCGGATTCCGTTCGACAAGATCCTTGATTCAGGACCGGTGTAGGAACAACGATCGCGGAACCGCGCGGAAAAACGCGCGCGGGGTATCGCGAGAGACGACCGTCGCCACTGCGATCTTGACCGCCTCGCGCCGTGCAACGGTTTCGCTATACACGTACGTATTCTCACTCTCCTCCCGTCGTCTAGCGCGGCCTCATCCGGAGAGTTCGTTCAATCGAGAGCGATATCACCTCGATCAATTTCCGGTTGAGGTCCGGCCACGTGTCGGTTCTATCCGGATAGGAAGACACCGAAGTACACATTCCTTCTCACGAAGTCCGTTTTTTGTTTGACGTTTTCTTACTGCTGAGATAATGAGTGAAATTCTGGCGACCGCACTTGGACGCAGGGGCGAATTACGTCAGCGACGACGATGAGACGTTACGTTACGTCACGTCGACCGCAACGAGCGTAATCGCTCTTACGCGTTCTCGGAGTTACCGATCATCTCGTCGGCTTTTCTCTTGACGCCACGGTCTTCAGGCTGCTGCTGATGATGACCGATGGAAGACGGGCCCTGCTGCTGCTGCTGCTGCTGTTGATCGTGCAACGGCGTCGAGCGCTCCGATTGTGACTGCTGTTGGTTCATGCGCTCGTTCTGCTGCAGGGTCGTCTGATCTGGCGTGACCGGCGTCCAAGGGGTCCACTCGTCTCAGTAGTAACTGAATTTTCATGGTTGCTGATTGCTCTGCTGATTGACGACGTGCTGAGCCAGAGTGAAACTCAAGGCGCGCGGGTCGCCGCCGTGAAGCCTGAGGGCCTGCTCTAATCGCTGCTCTTGTAGCCGTAGCGCTTCTCCTGAAAGGTGCCGAGTGTCGATGTCCCGTTAGAAATTTTCATCGCAAACTCAAAAGAAGCTCCGAGCTTAGACGTGGGCGCTACAATGACATGTCGCCAGTTTTCCATATTACTTACCGAGATCCGGCGTTAGGGTATCTTGTTGGGACATTTGTTGATTCGTATGGTGTCCCGGCATGCCGGAGGTGCTGCCTCCGTTGTGCTGTCCCAAATGATGTCTCACGTCGCCGCCCACCGCGGAACTTGCCGCGGCTGCCGCCGCTTGAGATACCTGCGCGCAAAGATACGAAAAAAAGTTGAAAAGTGGAAAAGAATTGAGAATGTCAGACTTGTCTTTTAATTTCGAATTGATTCTTCATCGTGAAAAAAATACAATTTATATGTTATATATTCTTTCAATCTTTATATTTTTATAACATACCTCCCGTTTTTATTTTATTTTTACAAATAAAATAAATATAATATATATTACTCAAAATGATATATAAAATGATAATTGTGAATGTACTGACGCGTGTGTGTTTTTCAACTATGTGTGTGACTAACAGTCTAGATGAGAAATTAAATATTTTTTCTTACCGCGAGTCGCAGGGCAGCTTCAGCTTGAGAACGGAGCAGAGCTTCCGCCTGATGCATCCTCAGAGCCTGCTCCGGTCCGCTCGCTTGCACTCCCTGCTGTTGGGGTCCCGTCGATCCTTGAGTACTACCGCTCATGTCACCGTTATTGCCCATTCTCATAGCCGCCGCAAGCGACGCCATGTCGACCGGCGAAAGATTAGGCGACACGGAATTTTGCAATCCTAACAGAAATATCGCTTTCACATCTCGCTTATTGTCGAAAGTAATTTAAAGTTTGCCTATAAAGAATATACCACGCTTTTCGAGTCCTGTCTTAAATTAATGATAAATCGCGAGATATATTTTAACATCTCTATTTGCAATCTTAAATTTTAAACGGTTTCATACGGTGTGTTTCAGACTCTTGGACTACTGCGATCTGCGGAACACGTGTCAAGGAGGGTTGCTCGCAAACGCTCGTCCCGCGTTAACTTTGATCGTGGGAAGAGAGAGAAAGGGAGCGAGAGAGGAGAGGGATGGCGGTAAGGAATTCCGATATTTGTTTTTCCTATCGCCGTTTCTTCGGCAAGTTTCTCGACGAGTTACGACTCGCATGCAGCGCGCCGCGAAAGAAACTACTGCGCGCGCGATAAATTTTACTAAATTAACTTGCGGTAATATCACACATAGTATCGATAGTGCATCGCGTTTCTGCAATGTAGGAACGTCGTTTCTCTCGGCGACAAATACGAAGTCAAATATGTTGAACGTATAACTTGTAATCGCTCGCTCGAGTTCCCGTCGTCGAAGACACGAGAAAAGCGGGCAACGCGAATGCAACGTCGTGAGCGGAGAAGCAACATTGTAAATCAAGTTTTATCGGTAATAATTGGAACGAAGCTATCGGCTTTCCCCTCTCGCGTGCAATTTCGCGTTGATAAGTGATAACGCAGTCGTCGCAGTCCACGGAGATCCGCGCGTCGTCGCACGCCTGATCGATCCGCTAGATCGGCACGGCTAGTTCTCGTTAAACACGATTTTATATATATATATTATTCTTGTCATTTATTTATTCTCTCTTACCCGCTGACACCGCGGCCATGACAGCCATGCGTTGTTGCTGCGACTGCATCTCGTCGTGATATTGCTGCGCCGAACCCGGTTGACTTCCCGTTCGCAGTATCTCGCTGAGCTTGTTGCCGCTCGGCCCCGGCGACGCCATATTGTTGTTGTTGTTATTGTTGTTATTGTTCAGTAGACCGGTGCCTGCGCAAAAATCTGCTCTCGTCAGTATGTACAGGTCGACGGACGGGCGGGGGTTTTCACGCACATTCTTTTTACTAGTTTCTAACTAGGTAGCATATGTCATTCCGCGTCGGTATATATATATATATAAATCGGCACGCTAAAGCGTTAAAAAAGGCGACATCCCGAAGTGGAAGCCGCCCCCATAAGAGCAGACTGTAGTGTGCGCCGTTCACATATGAGAGAATTATTACTCAGACCAGAAATTCGTAAATATTTTATTTCGACTCAAGCATATATTCATATATATTCTAGCTTACGTGTACTACAATAAGTTTCACTAATGGTACTTCACAACAGAGTTATGTCATTAACGAAATCAGAGAAAAAAAGGTGAATAACGGCGAGGTTACAAACTGTGCTCGGGCAAATGCGACAATATTATATCTATTATATCTAGATACTTGGTGGGCGTTCGTTTGTAAGTAGTAGACGTAGAACAAGTATCGTAGCGTACCAGGTTCACTACCGGCCGACGAAAGTCTTCCGTTGCCGCTACTACTGTCTGAATGGGCCGACGGCGACGGGCACATTGGTGGTTGTTGCAAATTTTGCGGTCCTCCGGATTGACTTCCTCCCAACACGCCCAAACCCGCTCCTGTACAGCGTAAGAATGTTACGTTAGAGCACTGCTCGACTATCGGCGTCGTGCAATGTCGTACTTTCTAAAAAATGCGACGGTATCGACGCCATTCGATATCTTAATATTAGAGAAAACGTAAAACGTCTGTCTTGTTATACCTAAACTCGAACTCGCGAGAATCTCTCTCTCCCGCCTTTCGGCGGCCGCGCGGCTCAGCACGTACTGCGCCGCGAACTGATGCTTCGGGTCCATCCTCATGTGCTCCATGTGGCTCAGGAGACCTTAACATCAGAGGAAAACGAACGTGGTCACAGTATAGAAAGATGATCGTATGGTCGCGCGTAATAATACGGACGATGAGTGTGTCACTTGTTATGATGAAAACGAGTACGTTATATACTCCACAGAACGAAAATCATAAGTTTTGTACAGCACAGAATGAAACTGAACTGTGTTTTACTTTCAACTGCGTTTACTCCGAACTCCGAGCTACCGGCCGATTCGCGATTTACGTGGGCTAAATACTTACCGCTCTCGTGAGTGAAGACGGCTTGGCACACCGAGCACGGCCACATCCTGAGGCTCGTGCTAAGTTGACTGGTCTCAGGATGGCAGGCCAGATGCTTCCTAAGGCTACCCTCGTTGACGTAGTGCTTCCCGCACACTGGGCACGGGTGGTTGGCGGTCCGTCGCTTCGCTAGGTAAACCCCGGCAACGGAGGTTGTGCAGTCAGCGGAGGGAACAATAGGGCGACACAATTTCAAGGTCAATGCCAAGCAGGATAAAGCGTCCCAAGGAACGAAAGCCGCCTCCTCCTCACCCCAACTCCTCCACCATCCCTCATGTTTTCTCACATCTCTCTCTCTCTCTCTCTCTCTTTCTCCTCTCGCTCTTATTTCTCACGCACTCGCGTGCACGCGCGCGCGTACGTACGCACAGATTCCGGTCGACCTCGAAGGCGAAGGGAGACCTTACGGATACGCGGATAGCCAAGGACCAGGAGAGAGCACTGACCTCGGGCAGAGTACTCGTTGGCCGGCGCCGTCGCCACCGCGCTACTTAACTCCCTTTCACGAGCAAGGTCGCTGGCCCAAAAAGCCAGGATGCACACAGACGTACTCGCGCGCGTTGCACGTACGCGAACGTACAGAGAAAAGAAAGATTAAAATTTTTCAAAAAGATCATATATATATACATATATCGAAAAAACGCCCGCTATTTATTACGAGTCGAGTAGTAAAACGATGAAAAGATATCATTCGTCTTGTCACTCTTAGTCGATTTTTTAAAATCCGATCTAACAATAAATGCTTGCGTTTTAAACAACGATAATGTTGCATGCTCAACGTGTATTCGCAATACAGTATGATCCGTTAGCATTCACATTTGAAATGCCGGCCATGTCGATCACTGTGACAGACCACCGTGTCGACACTCACAATCAAGAATAAAACGCCGATTCCTCGCTTTAAAGTTGAACGAAGAAGCAGAGTAGGTTGACTTTTGTTCTCTGTACGTCCGCCAGTCTGCATACGTAGTCGCGAACGCATGTGTCAAGGCACGCATAGAGGTCGAACGAGACACCCTCGAAGCATCGTGTATCTGTATTAGCGAGTATAGTACCCAAGTATTAGTCGGCAAGTGTGCCAAATGCTACACGCCTTTCCCGCCCAGGCGAAAACAGTACCAAGAAGTGAACAAGGACAATGTGTGCGTATCGCCCGCGCCAAAGCAAGTTTTTGGGATGGATGCGAAACGTAACTTAAAGGCTAAAGAACGAACCACCCTTCGTGTCTCGACGAGCGGTTGCTCCACCTCTCTCTTAATTCTTACTCACGATTAACGTCGCCGCTCTCGTGTCTATGTCGGTCTCTCACTTTCTCTATCTCAGAGCCCTTAAGGGACTCCTCGCGACATTCTAATAGTTAAGGATTCTGGCGAAGAATTAAATGCGGTTAGAGCGAAGACAGAGTCAGGTCTTTCGCCCGGAAAATTAAATCGCGCGAGTGCGAGCAAGATTTGGCGTTAAGTTAGTTGATTAGTCGGTAAGGAACGACACGGTCAAGGTTTCGTTCTCAAGCTCGCTTCATGCAACGATGCACTCCGCTTACGAGACTCCGCGGCCGGATTCCAGTTAATCGATCGGTTATGGTTAATGAAGATTAGTAGGTGCGCGAACGGCGAGAAATAGTAAAAAGCGAACGCGCGGGGAAAGGAGAGAGACATAGACGACCGGCCGAGAGGGCGGTAGATACGCGATTTCTCAATACTTACTGGCAACTCCGGAGGCGTTCGGGTCCTTATGGGTGTGCTTCATGTGCTCCATCAACGCCTCGCCGCCGAGGAAGAGCTTGTGGCATACTGGACAGCTGGTTGCGTTCGGGCCGCCGATCAGGGCGGCGTGTTGCTGGAACACAACACGCTGTTGCAACTCCTTTTTTGGGGGCCCGGAAGAGGAAGTACCGGAAGCAGGCACACGCGGCGCACCGGTAGTAGAGAGCCGACCCAGAGAATACCACCACAGAGTTGCGAACCAGAAGCGCAGGACAGGCAGGGCACAGAACAGAACGATTGACCAGTGAGAGTTAAGGCACCAATAACCGCCGCCACCACAGACTACTCCTTTGCACAGGGAATTCATGTCGAGTGTGTCTGGTAGGAACTTTGTGGTATCGCGCCCTGGCTGGGTTTCCAGTCGGTCAAGTACGATCGAAAAGAATCGAAATAACGAAAAGAAAAAAAAAACGAAATTTTCTCTTCCGAGGCATTTTCTTTCAATAATGATCCATTTACTGCCGCAATTTATTCACTGCTTATCGAACGAAAAACACTTAATGTATTTTTATTTTGCTTTTGAAATATCTTTGTAATGTGTTGCGAATATGTAATTAAAGTGAATCAATTTTTAATATTGCTTAAAAAAAAATTATATCGTACGTTTGGCAAATGGCTAGATTGCGGCAAGTGATTCGTCTCTCGGCGTACTTGAAAAGATCATAGCTAGCTCTTGGAACATTACGGGATATAGGAGTAAGGCGTAAATTTCGATATTATTGGAAATACGATCGTAATCTCCAACGTATCGCTGTTGTGAGGAATACTGTGCCCATGTACACTTTTCTCAAAATACATTCGTTACTGATTCTGTGATTTTTTAAATCTCGTTATACTTTGTGATATGCAAAAATAGAGATGTAGACAGAATCTTGACCGAACATAAAAACATTATCATTAAGCCAGATCAGAGCACTCGGTTCGGGTGTAGGGACCGAGGAGCATGAGGGAAGTACGATGATTGGGAAACTTGAAGCGAAGCCTAGACAGACAAATATGTGGAAGCGTGGGGTCCGAGAGAACGATCGGAGTGGATTAATCCTTAACCGCGATTAGGGATTTCATCGGCTAATGTGTGCGCTACCGGCATCGGTCTCGTCTCGCGTATTGCATGTACGGAACCCAAAGGCCGATGCCAGACGTTGCGTTGCGAAAACAAAGCGAGCACTTTCATCGACCTTGGACCTCCGATCGACCCCGTGCGACCTCACCCATGAACGGGAATGCGAAGCATGGAATGACTAGCTTGTACCATACATCAGTTTTAACTACCATGATCGCTGCTAGCACATCTTCGGCTCGTATCTGCATTCCTTTTGTTTTTTTTCTTTTTCTCTGCTTTGCACGTGTTAACATTAAATGAGATCTATCGCGTGGTTTACCGAATTTGCTGTGCTACCAACGGCCATATTAAAATCAAGATTTAAATGAAATTATAAATGAAATTCGACGTCCTCTCGTGCCAGATAGAATGACTTTTTTTTCTCCCCTTCATTCTCTGGCTTGTCACGCGGTAAGGAACCGAATGCATTATCTTGATGTCTTTTTTTTTTGTCTTCTCTGCTGCGTCCCCCCTTTTTATTCATCTTTTTTCTTTTTTTTTCTCTTTTTCCGAACACACGAAGGTTGCTTGCACGCATACAAGGAGGTAGGTGTACACGCGCTCGAGGAAAAACATGGCGGCCGTACCTTGCTCGAAAGAGTGGCTTAAAACGGCAGTAGGAGAGGAAGAAAAAGAAAAAGGCGCGAAAGAAGGAGAAGGTTGTGAACGGGCAGGAACGGGCTAAAACGAGACCGGACGGCAATGACCCCAAAGAGTTTCGGGGTCCCCCGTTCCTCTCTTCCTTCCTGTTCTCGCTTCTCCGATTCGCGATTCTTCGTCTTCTTCCTTTCCCCATACTTTTTCGCCTCCCCCCCCGCCCCTCGCTCCCTTCCACATACTTCGCCCTAGACCCTTTCTCTGTCGATCGTCTTCCTTTTTATTCCGGACCTGGGACAATCGCGAACGCGTTGAGGCAATACGGACACGCGATGCGAGAAAAGGCTAAAACGAGTTCTGACGTGACAATGACCTCGGAATTTTTTAGACACATCGCCGCCTTTTTCTTACGCGACCTCTTCTCTATTATTGTCACGATTCTTCATTTTTCGCATCTTAAACACGGATTTATTTTTGCGCCTTTACAGACCTCTTCTTACATCAGAGAGGGAGAGAGATGTATCTTCTTTATAAGTACATACACGGTCATCTAAAGCCTCTTCGTACTTCCTCCTTTCCTCGACATTTTTAACGATGTGCCAGATGCCGGCGCAATCCTGATTTTCTGCCGGCTCTTCCCGCTGATAAACAAGCGAGACAGCATACCACGAGGGCTAGAGGGGAGGGTGGGGGATACCAAATCGGACGATAATCGCCTTGTCGCATCCATTTCGGTTTCCTCCTTCCGGTTTTCCTCTCCCGGCTCTCCGTTTCATCGTTCCGCGTACACGCGTGTTCTCGCGCGTGTTTCTCCTTCTCGTTTGGCTCGGCTCCACTCTTGTCCCGCGATAAACTCGAGAGTGGGTGGCCGACCGCCGGCATACTTATGCCTTCTATCTCCTTTTTTATCCCGAACCTGGGGCAGCCGCGAGCGCGTTGAGAAGACGGCGACGAGGACGGCGTCGTCGCTGGCCGTGCCGCCGCCGCGCCGCCGCCACCGCCGCCGCCGCTGCATGTAAGTTATTCTCGGAGGGAGGCTGCGGTCCCTAGGTTCGACGCCCCGACCTGGCCCAACTGGAAAAAACCGGTTTCTTCGTCGCGCTCTTCCTTTTTTGCTTGCATCCTCGCTTTTTGCGCCGCGAGTGCCTCGACTTCTCTGACGCTCTTTCCCTTCTTCTCCATCCCGTTCGCCACGGTCGCTCCCCTTCTCTTTCTCTTTCCCTATCTTTCTCGCTCTCCTTTCTCTCTCTTTTTTCTTTCTCTTTCTCTCGCTCTCCGTTCGTTCCTCCAGCTTATTCTCTCCGACTCGACCGAGAGAGTGGACGCGGCGTGGGCGAATCCCCGAGGGACTTTATGATCCGCCGTGACCAGATTCATCTCTCTCGCGAGGCTATACGCGCGCTGTTCGTTGTACGCCATTCTTGCTACCATTCCCAATTCCATACTTCCTGGTCCCACTAACATAAGAGGCTCTACATATATCTGCCAGAGACGCCGGTTTTCTGCGCTGCACCGGGATCTTCGCCTCGGTAGAAATATAGAGATTCCGCCGCGATTGGTTCTGCGTGCACTCTTTGTTTCTACTTCGAAACATTTCGATTATATCGAAGGCGAGGTGAATATGGAAGAGAGAGAAATCTTCAATTTGTTTATTTTCGTCGAGGATTGGAAGCAAGTAAATGCATCGGTATCACTCATAAATTCGCAAATGATCGTAATTCATAATGATTCGTAAATAATATTTTCATTGGCTAAATAAATTTTCAGCGGCGCTAATCAATATCGGAGATGATCGATAATTGCTGAATAATACGAGGGAGTACAACGGCCGGCAAAGTGATGTCTATACGTCCGATATTTTTAACGTCGCGCTGTAAATAATTATATCGACGTTCGATTTAGCCGCGATTAAGTATTTCATGGTTCTTCCGATTAAGTGATGGCAATTATAAATTTTATCGGATCCTTTGTTTGTCGGGCGCTGATCACATTATTGGTCGACCGCTCGGCCGACGCGATCACGCTTACTCCCTCCGGATTTTTTCGCACCCTATCGCCGATTGGTTCCTCGATTTTTCCGGCGATCCCAGTCGTAGATTATCCGTTCTTCGAGGCCTGACGCGGGCCCGGGTCAGGGAGTGGCGTAAAAAGGAAGTGGGTGTGAGCACACGCGTAGCGGTGCGTGACGTTGGCCGCGATGTGGCCATTTTGTGTTCATAGAGACGGGACCATCTTTGATCGAGGCCCGAGATCTCGTTAGTAGAGCGACTCTATTAGAACAAATCAAGACGGGAGATTTTTTTCAGGCCCATACGCAATCAATACGATATAATCCCCGATTTGCGACATTCTAACGTACAGAATGCTTTACACTCAACAATAACCCATATAATATTTTAATAACGTATTCTGGAGATTGCAATTGAAAACTTAATATGAAAATTCGAGTTATAAATGATTAAAGCCGGTCAAAATCGTGCAAAGTTTACGCGTTTAAAAGCTCATATTATATGCTTACACGCAATATTATTATTTTTAATATGTTACACACTTTTATTGCGTTCAGTTGATTTTTCAGCTTAAACTTGTATGATTTTATTTCAAGAAAAAATTAGTTGCTACATTTTCTGCGATAATTTTAATTTATTTTTTTGACGTTTAAAAATTATAGCTCATGATTTATCGAAATCGCAGAATTTCATTTCCCTAGAAACGTAACTGCTTTTGGTAAAAAAATAATAGTAATAATAAATCAATTTATATAAGTACTTTTTTGATCAAAATTTTATTCTTCAAAATATTAAATTTAATAATAGTTTATAATAGTACGATAACAGCCTATTGTAATTATAATTAGAAATTTTATCAAAAATTATTGAAATTAATTAGAAATCGAGGACCAGGAAATTCGGCGCGTGTATTTGCATACATGATATTGTGTTAAATATTTAGGCGGCGACGGTGTTTGGTTGGCACACGACGCTAGTTCCGGTTGCGTACGGCGTGTTGTATACAGTCTTGTCATTCGCGCGTTGAGACTTGAATCGATGGGCAATGACTCGGCTACTCCGTATTACGTTACGTTATTCTCTCTTGAGATGCGAGCGTGACAAGTACTAGGAGAAAACGCGATAATTCCCTATTATTTAATAATTATTCCTAATATTTAACGATTAACTCTAATATTTAACGATTATCAATTCGCGTAGTTAACTGATTCTCATAATTAACGGCATAAGAAGGCGACGGAGGATATTTTTCGGATATTTATTTTCGGATACAGATATTTCGCACAATCCTTTCAGAGTAGGAATCGAAATGGAAATTATAAATTTAATTATTGTCTTTTAATATTTAGACAAATTATATGTCGTCGAATCCGTGCTCTAACTCAGATATACATATTTCATATTGCAGTTGAAGTTTTTCGTCTATTATTTTTGGATCGCGAGCGCGAAGTAATGCACGAAGCCGAGCGATTCAATATGAAGTGATATGCCGTTTATTAATAATTAATTTGCAAGAAATAAGATATATGTATATTCGGCGTAAATGTATTTCGCAGTGAGATAATCAGTTCGGCATGTGGCTTACGGCGCTCCTCTTTTTTACAATTAGCAACGTATACTTACAGTATACGCGACCGCGCGACTTTGTTTACGTTCGCGAGCCGGCAGTTAACGGCGCGAGTCCGCGCGTTCGGCGTGTATTATTTCTCGAGACGCCATCGAGACAGGTACTAGGAGCAAACGTGATCATTCCTTATGAATAGTTATCAGTCTTAATCGTGTCGTATCGTACGATGTAAAGTTGTTAGCGTTAGATTTTTCCATCGTTAATAAGTACGAACGTTATATCGATTGAAAGAATAAATCAAATCAAGTCAAGCAGTATCGCGACGCGTTTAATTAGTCGCAGTTAACCTGCATTTTAATATTTTCCAGTGGCGTAGCACGTAATAACGCGCTTCAGCGCGTCCATATGATAATCTTTATTAAAATCTTGCTGCGTTAAAAGGTTCATCCATTGCACTAATTGACGAAAATATCGAGCGAATCGTAGATTTGCACGATGACGCTGCTTCTATATTATTTTTTTTTCGTAACAATGTGACGAAAAATAATCTACGGGAGTGTCGTGTAAATTATTGCGCGCGATCGTCATATCGCGGTGATTAGTGCGCGCGCGATCATAATTAGCTGTGTTTTCGCGAATGTATAGTATGAGTGCCATAAGAAATCTGAGAGGAGGCCCGGGAAAGCATCCGGCGACGGCGCACCGACCTTGGGATAAGATTATTCTTTTATACTTGAAATGATGATTTTCATAATTATATACATTTTATGTGCGCAACAATTATTTCTTGAAATATTAATTGCTTTAAGCATTGCTGTAATTTGAATATATTTTTATCGCTGCGCATAGTATCAGTGAGTGGCAAACTATGTATATTTCAAATGGATTTGAAGTAATGGATTTATGAAACTTTATATTGGATATATGTATGTAGATACATGTTCGTCTCAAATTTAAGATTACAAATAAATGCAACATCTCCTTAGGAATCTTAAAATGGACGAAAAAAGACAGATTAGTGTAATATTTAATTGAACTTTATGCAATTATTTGTCGATCAAATATACAAATATACGAAGCTCGTTGTATCAATTATCTATTGGCATATCGATATCTCATTACTGAAATACTATGCCTCAAGTTTATCTTAATTTTTCACAGTCTATCTATTCATATATGCATTGCCATTTTGTAATATCATTTTCAATATCACAACGTAATTATGGAGCGCGTGAACTTTACGAAATACTATCGGCCAATTTTGATCACTTATAACTCGCAAATTATTTTCGCGTTAAGATTCTTAATTGTGGTTAACCTTCAGAATACGTTATTAATGTGTTGTACGAGATATAACACCTCTGATAAAATTAGATTCTTACTTCGTTCAGGCATTGCTGTCTACTTCACTCAAATTCCGCGATTTTTTTTTTTAACGGTTTTAATGAATTGCTAGTTATTTACAATTTAAAAGTGCAGTTTCTAAATGCGGCCAATATAAATCGACAGTATGCGGGCTCCTTTCTTTCCCTTGGGCGGCGATAAAATCCGAAGGCCGTTTTGCGCTCGGTGCGCAATTCTTTTCTCCCGCCCTCCCGTCGTTCCTTCTTTTCCTTTTTTTTTCTTCGCCGCCGCCGTCTTTCCTTGGCTTTTTTAGCAGTGACGAGGCCGCGAGACTCGCCGGCAGACAACCTTCGGCACGATACTTCGGCTGTACGTTCGGCTCCAGCGCGGCTCGCGGAATCCGCTAAGAGATATTCACCGGCTTGCTCATCGCCTCCTTCTCTCTCGTCCGAAAGAAAGAGCATCGCTCTCCTTCGCTTCGGCCCGCTAGCTCGCTCGCTCGCTCGCGCGAACGTTATTTTCTCGAGACGAGAACGCTTTGTCTCCCGATAAGGAAGGCACCAGAAATTCTTGATTCCTTTTCTCCGTTCGCGTCTGACTCATAGCTGCTTTCGGAGCTTTCGGTCGAACGATGAGAAGAACACAAACAACGCAAAAGTCCAAAAGATGTATAAAAGACATCGAAAGTATCTCTGAGAGAGCTCCTGAATTTTTGTTTTGCTCAAGAATAATTTTCTCGTGATAATGTAATCATGTTCAAAGATATTAAATAAGTTATATGATTCGTGATATAATTTCACTTCTGGGCGCGAAAAAAATATATGAAAGGCGTATGCGATCGATAAGAATTAATATGCGTCGCTAGTCACCCCGCGACTCGTTCTTCATCGCCACCCCGTGTTATTAATCCACTTCCAAGAATCGCGCGCTGATAATTCGCGCGTAACACACGTACGTGAAAATCAGTCGCTGACGAAGGCGACTTTAGGGGTGAGAATGAGGGAGAAAAAAAGCGAATCTACCTAACGCCACGAGGGTTGACGAGGGAGCACCCTCCGTGTTGTGCCAATAGGAGGACGCGAATCGACCCCGAAACGCGTTCGACTAGACGAGCGGAAAAAAAAGGAGCGCGTAGGGGCGTCGATACAATGGGGGTACAAATCCTACCCTATCGGAAACGCCACGGGAATGATTTCATTAGTGTCCGCGCTGGTGATCGAACATGGAGAGAAAAAAAAATAGAGACGGAAAGAGTCACGGAGGCGGGGTCGAAAAAATTAATGCCTCGGGGTGAGAGAGAAAGGTAAACTTGAAGCGCGCTATCGGAAAGTGGAACTCGCGAAAATGAAAATTACACGAAGCTCGAAGTAAAGTAATCATAAGAATAATCGAAATTGATGTAAAAACCGTGATAAATATAAATCGAGATATTATTCTAAGAGTTATAGATAATTATATATTTCTTCGTTCTACGGTTGCGAAAGAGAAACCGAAATAAATGCGAAAGTTGCTGCGATGAAAAGGATTAGACGAAAAAAAAACGCGAGACGCTACAAGATCTCGTAAGAGCTGAACCGAGGGGTTATACCGCGAAAGACCGTCCCACTTTTCTATTTTAATGCCGCAAAAGAGACAAAGAGTGAAAAGTCCTTCTGGAGATTCGCCAGCCGGTGATGTTTACTGACGAAAACGAGAGGGAGAGAGAAAGAGGCCTGGGTACTGGGAATCCGAGAGGGGAGAGGTTTTCGGTGAGGAGCGTGGTGCGAACCTGGCTTAATTAGAAGAGCGTCCCGAAAATTAAGAAGCAGCAATTAGCCGCGATCGACAGGTGAAAGGCGCGTTTGTGTTGCGCTCTTCGGTGATACATCATCGTACATCTCCATGACTGTTGCTATTACGACTGTGTGCGACGTGAGACATTAATGAATTGCACACTCATGATCATCGTGACGTAGGATTAAGAAAAAAAAAGGAACAAGAGCCGGATTATAATCGTTTTCACAGTCTTCGCGTCGCGAGAGATCAATCAGGCGGCGATACTGTGTCTGCATTCTGCAATATACAATTTCACGTGACGCATCGTTAATTAAATAGGATAACGTGTATCAGACGTGCATGAAAAATGCGAAGAGCGCCGTACACAATTTCGCGCCATAACGCTATCATAATTTCGCGCATTTCGAGAAAACTGCGTAAACTGTGGCGAGGTATGTGCGTATATATGTGTGTACATGCGTGCGTGTTTCCGCGCGAATGGATCATTATAATGAAAATCGGAGATCACAATTTTCCCAGGTGCGATGAGTGATGCATGTAAACGCGCCGCGAAACGAGTTGAAATTACAGCCGAAAGGAATTCCCATAGGCTTTACCATATATTGACCCGATCGTTTTACCTTTAATCGTTGCCATGGGTACTTCGAACACTGCGACAAAGAGACCAGCATGAAATGGAGATCAATTTGAATTAATGTGATACCATTAAATCGTCAGTCATAGGTTTAGATTTTCAGGAGTGTCCATATTTTCACGAGTGTTTCCCGATCGTGTGTGCACGCTCTCGCGGAAGAAATTAAAAAAACACCGCGTAAATACCGCGAGCACGGTAATTAATTAGCGCTCCGTGTTGGCGAAAATACGGCACGATAAGCGGGTAACACCACCTCCATCCCACGCGCAAACAGATTTACATTTATCGCAGGCGATCAATCCGTACGCGGCCAACGGGAATCGCGCGTGTAAAAAAAAAAAAAAAAAAATTGTAGCGTTAACAACGTGATACAACCACCGCGCGGTTTTTAGTACAGCAAAAGGGAGAGGGATAAATCTCCGTGGCGAGAGAAAATAAATCTAATGGCTAACGAGTTTTTACCGAGCCCGCGCGCCGGGGCAATTAAGAAGAGGGGTGGAGGAGGGTCCGAAGGACGGAGGGATGACAGGAAGGCCCCGGAGGTGAGTCGGAAGAAGGTCGGAAAGATACGCGAGGAAGGTCCGCGAGGCGGTAGAAAAGGGGTGGTTGTATCGTGTTGCACGACATTCAACCCTTGTACCGTTAAACTACGGATAAATACGGAAGGTTGTGCGCCACGTGAAAGTGGCCAAGAGCCACGAGAAGGAGAAAGAAAGGGCGTGGAGATCAGGGCTGGCCAAATTCGCGAGACTCTTGGCAAAACGTTCATAATTTTGCATTCTCATTTCCGGTCAAATTCGCATCCCGGAGATCGATCGGTTCTCGTCCGAAGTAAAAGTCTCACGGCAAAGATAAAAGGGAGAGAAAGCTCGCGCGGGAATGTATTACGAGGTCGGGAGATTTTATACCTTGACCACACAAGCGCGAGAAGAAATTTCGACGTGGAGACGAACTCTCTCTCTCTCTCTCTCTTTCTCTCGTGGTTCGGCGACGCGAAATTTAGGAGTGTGGGCGTATTAACCAGAGACATATCGCGACAGTGTATCGTTGCGATGATCCGCCCCTGTTCCGAGCCGAGCGGGAAGAGGGTAACAGTTAATAGGATACACCGAGAGGAGAGAAGAAGGACGAGAGGAGGTAGAGAAAGGGGGAGGAGGGGGAGGTGTGTGGGTACCATAGACGAGTTTCTATGCCCGGGCTACCGATCGTTCTCTATAATACATTTACGCTCCGGCCTATTATAATATTGTACTCCGGGTGTATTGTCTTTCTTAGCGGGATAATGTTTCGCCGACACGCCAGGCCTCGACCTGGAGCGTAACTCTTTCATTTCCCCTCACTCTCCACCGTATTTCCGTGAGCCGTTCCTCTTTCTTCGTTGTCTTTCGCTTTCTCTGCGTCTCGAGCTATCTCGCGTTGCTTTTCCTCTCTCACTCCTGTTTCTTTTGCTGTTTTTTTTTTTTTTAACAACGATCCATTAGCTATCGGCGGGGGTAGCAGCGCTCGGCGCGAGGGAGAGACGAGCGGCTAGGCGGTCTGAAATAGCGAAAACAATTTCAAGAAATCTGCCCCGGCGAAAATTCGATTAGCCGCGGAAGATGGGCTCGAGCTCTCCATTTGTTTCGTTTCGTTTTATTTCCAGCGGGCGTATACTCTGTTTCTGTCGCGCGCCCGCGCGCTTGCACCGGCGGCTTTTAATTACTTCGCCGCTGCGCGCTCGCCGTAAGATCCTCTCTTCCCGTTCTTCTGCGCCTCTTCTCCATTTCTTCTCGTTGCTTCCCGTGGGTTTTTCTTCCTTCGTTTAACGCGAGCTACGTGCATCCTGATGTTTTTGCCGATAAGCCTGGACAACGCCGCCGTTCTCGCGGCATCGCAGCTTGATACGTTGCTGCATATTTCGTATTAGTATTTAATCTGACGCATTGATCTCGCGCGCGCATAAGCCAGCTATTCAGGAATAGTTTCGCACAGGGCGAGCCCTACACCATGAGGAAAACTCATCAAGGCCGTTATACATAAAAAACGAAGGATCAAATAACTCGAGTGCAAAAAATGTATCTCATTAGTGTGAGGATTATCGCACGGTGCGATAAAAAAAAAACCAGTGGCAGTAATGGGGTCGTCATTATTTGCGTCAGTTCATTCTTTCGTAACTGCGCATTTTTAGGAGGAAAAAAAAATTGGTATAGGCTTGTAGAGGCGGGGGCCGTCGACATGATTTCACGGGTGATTTATCGGGGTCGTGCGGGGGACGGTAACAGGATAATCTGAAGGCTTTAGGCCGTGGATTAGGTTTCAATTAGAGGAGCCGAGCGTTAAAAGAACGATATTTATTGCCGGGGCGTCCGACGTGTGAACGGATTAAGCTCGCGTAAGCCTGGATGCGCCGCACCTGATTCCGCGACTCGCGAAAATCGATCTCGAAAGATGTGACGATCTACATTTTGCATGTGCGATCACCTAATATTTAATTCCCGGCTTTTACAGTGTGAAAATATCGTGTTTGTGGCAAACGCGTTAGTATAGAAAAACGTTACCTTATTGTTACATAATACAGCCGATGTAAATTGAAAGTATCAAACGACGTCTTTTCTCGTGGCAAAAAGAAAGGAGGAAGAAAAGGAGGAGATGAAGAAGTGAAATGAAGGAGAGGGATAAGAGTGAGCGCCTTGCGCGTACAGGCCAACAGATGCCTTCCCACGTTTTTTCGTTGAGACATGTGCCCGGCGCGGAAGGCGAAAGGGTTGAGAAATTCAGTTGCCGGCCGGGTGGGGCGGCGGCGGCAAAAAACTGCCCCACGTTACAAGATTCCGCCGGTAATCGCTGCGAGCCGCGATTCCACGCGAGCGAGGGGTGAATTCGATTAACGGGCACGGGGGTCATGGTCTTTTTCTCAGATCAGACCGCGTTTTTTTTTTCTTTTAAACCTCTGTCCCTCTAATAACCGGTCGGTGCCACGCACCCTTGGCCACCGTGAAGCTCGTATGTGTGTAAACAACGATTGTTCATTCACGGTGACTCGTATGAGAAAATCCTCCGGTATATATGTTCGCTTGTGATGCGCCGTATCAAAGAGCTTCTCGCCCCTGTCGTGTGACATCTTTGTTCATCGGATTTCTATAGAGGGCGTAAATTATTTGGCGTGATCAATTTCTTCGAGTTCCGTCCTGTCATCTCTGTCTGTACGGGGATCACTGTAATTTCTATGAATTCGAGCGACAATCTTTTTCCGATTTTCTCGAATTCGATTTGATCATGTAATGTCGATTTCGTGATGATAAGCGCCGTATGAGAATTCAGTGGCAAAAGCAAGCCCAAGCACCCCGCGAAGGATCCCAGTGGTACCATCCAAAGCTCTTGATAAATTGTTATTTGAACAGAATAAATATATATACGCTATCTACGAAAGAGTATAGGAGACTACGAATCATGGCGCGATTATTTAGGTTGGGACGTGCTTGGATCTGAATTTCGCAAGCTTGATGTCTGCTGGTATGCGTTTAAGCCTGACACGTCCGCCGCATCTCCAACGACGACGGCTGTTTTTAACTTGCTTGAGACTTGCATCGATTATATAGGGAGCCCTCGAAACGGAACAAAGGAAACGGCGGACAAAGAGCGTTTAAACGGGAATCCATCTGTACAAGTATCGAGGCAAGCGTGAACCCACCACCACCACCATATGCGTGCGTAACGAGTAACGAGAACGTGTCGCGCGAGAAAAGAGTTAATGTTAAGATTTCGATCGTTAGGAGGAGCGATTATTATAGCGGAAATATATGAACGCGCGATTACACACCGAAGTCGATCGATCCTTCCTCCTGTTTCTTTTTTTTTTTAATTCCGAACCCCTTCGGTTAATTACCGGCACCGCGTATCAGCGAATTTTGCGAGAGTTGGACGTCGGATTTGGTACATACATGACTGACCTTCGACGTGTGAGTACGGAGGCTGGACTCCGTGGCGAAACCCTTGCCGCAGATGTTGCAGTGGAACGGCCGGTTCTTCGCCCGCTCCACCTGAGCGTCGTGATTCCTCAGGTGTTGCTGCAAATTCGACAGTTGGATGAAGGCCCGCCCGCAGTCCGGTAAATGGCACTTGTACGGTCGTTCACCTGCGATCAGATACCGTAAGGCGTATTAGAATTTCGTGCGGCTGTGCACGGGCGTACGTAAATTGTGTTACGGGTGGAACACGTAACGGCCCCGTACACGCTCGATCGGGAAATTCGCACCGGTCATGCTACGCGATTTTCCTGGAGATCGTTCGAAATTCGAAATTTAATCTTTCTTCCATCGAAAGATGAATAAGGGTCGGCATATTTCCATAAATCCATATCTTTTTATCGTTAAATAATGCCTACGTATGATAATTTTTAGAATATTTGCACAAATTATTGGTAACTTTAAAGTTTCATTTTTACTATAAATTTTCATATTTCGATGGATTATCGTATTTGTATACTTATTCATAGAGTAGTCGCGGTGCTTTCCTATTATTTGTAATCATGCGTAAAGTATTCATGTTCCTAAGCCGTTTATACCGTTTACTTTTGATTGGCGTGTAAGAGTAGGTATCATCCGTTTAACGTATCGTACATTCAATATTAACTTTGTCCTCGCGGTCTGGCGCGACGAAGATTGATGAAGAGATTGAAACGTCATTAATGACTCGTTTGTCAGCTCGCCAAGTATGTCTCTCACTCCTCGGCTCGTTCTTAAAAGGTAAAAGCTATGTGGAAAAACGCGCTTAGGAAGTGAATTGGCTGGTCAGTGACTCTCGGCTTTTTCCACTTTTTTTTTTACGGGCATGCAACAGGTTTCTACATCTACATCGAAGAGTAGGTGGGAAGAAAAATACCGCATTTTTCTCGGTGCCGCACCGGGCAGGAAAGGCGCGGACGGCGTCGACTACTGCGCAAATTGGAGGTAGCTAACGCGCAAATATTTTCCATGCAAATGTGCGATGTTATTTATTACACGGTCTTAAGAAAATTTCCGTTTGCTTCAAAATACGAATATTTAAGCGTCCCCCTCCCCGTCCTCCCTGCCCCCGCCCGCGTAATAATGATAAAGTAACGTTGCCTCTCGATCGTTTAATCGCCTCGATCGATCGGCATTCGAGAGGCAGACTTCAGCTGCCGCTGCGCGTTTTTATTGCGTTTTTTTCTCCTCTCCACGGCTCGCCGTTCGTCTCGAGTGGACTCGATTCTAATTCCCACAAGCGATTGGCTCAATTTAACTTTTATTAATATCGACATTCTTCCCCAATCCTTTTTACCCCGGGCACTTGTTCCTTCTGCTCTCTCGCTCTAGCTCTTTACCTCTCCCTCTTTCTCTCTCTTTTTCTCTCTCACCCACCTCTTCTTCTTACTCTCAGTCGTTCCACGGGATTCATCTTTTATTCAGTCGCGTGATTCATCGGAGAATTTCATCGTTCGATTTAATAAAAATAACTCGAGCGAGCAAAATTAGATTCTACAATCTTTTATCACGTGCCGGCATTCGAAACTTCCGAGCGTAAAAAAACAAAACGACGATCAATGAAATGCATCTTTGAGAGTAGATTTTTTCTTCGCTAACAACAGATAATGGAAACCTCCTTGTGGCGCGATGCGCGATAAAAGTAGTTGGCTTTTAAAATGACGGTATGGCACACTGGCAAGTCTGTTATTAAAGGAAGCGATTTCCTGGAGGAAACGAGCGAGCTGATAGTTCCTATTTATTTCCCACCTGAAATGAGTGCATTGGGAGGAAGTATATCTTTGTGTATTCGCAAAGATTTTCACATGAGGTGGAACGTGCGTTGCCGTATTTGTGTTAACTTATTTATGATAAGAATCCACTTCCGCGTATATTCGTACTTATGATGCAAATTCTGTCCTATACTGTCTTAAAATACACAGTGCAAATTAATGATGATCATTTACCAAATTAAAATATACGACTTGATAAAGCATTTATTTATATATACATATATACATATATATATATATATATATATATATAGAAAATTTTGCTAGACTTCCTCTCCAATTTCACCATTGTTACAACCCTTGCGTATTATATTAATACGTTTTTAATTACGACAGGAAACATACGGTCTCGTTCTCTTCACGAGTGACTAAGTCTTTTTTTTTTTTAATGTTACGCAGGCATATCGAAACAGAGTATTCTTCTTTTAGGTGGAGAAAATATATTTAATTATGCAATAAGGACGGCCTTGTTCAAGAACAGAAAAAAAAAACGTTAGAAAAGGCGTTATTGGAATTTTTATGAAGGGACACTTGGCTTTTCCCTCCTCCGCCTTCAAGACCGTATGTTTTCTGTCGCGCTACAATTAAAAACGTATTAATACACCGGCTATAACAACAGTGGCGTCGGTGGGGAAGCCTAGTGGTTTCTTATTGTCGGCGCTTAATTGTCGGTTGAAACATTTATTTGTAGAACGATGAGCTCGCCCACGTGTACACTCGCACATACGTAATATTCGCCTTTTTTGTGCGCTTGACGTTACCGGAAGCAGCGACGGTAGGAACAAACGCGGCGAGAAGGGTTACAAAGTAGGCACACCTCTCTCTTTCTCCCGTTCATAAAAGGGAAATAATGACATAGAACGCCACGACTCCGCGGTCGGTCATTCGTTTCCACGAAAACAGTCAGTTTTCCCGCACTATTATGCGATAAACGTTGCGCTGACACGACGTCGAGCATTCTCGCGTGATAATAAAAAAAAAAAATAAAATAAAATAAAAATAAAGGACATTGCGGTAACATATACACCCAGCATTGGTATTTCAAGCGTGCAATTGGCATTCATTTTTTACTGCCTCGTTTATCGTTTAATCGACCGTATCATTCGCTAAGGTGTTAATCCGTAAATGCGCACTATGATAAAATATGATTTGTAAATCATTCGTTAATCAATTTTTGTTAATTTGTTAAATTTTTAATTTGATAAACAAAAGCGACAACACGGTCGATGTTAGTGACTCGAAAGACAGACGATTCTTTCGGAAGCAACGTATTTTTAAAAAATAATGAAATAATCCCTCATTTTAATGTAATAGCTTCCCATTTTGTAATAATTCGCGTGGCCTCGCAGCGGAGCTGCGAAGAGTTATGATTAAATTTAAAATCTCGCGTGCGAAACGAAAAGACAAGAGATGGAACAACGTGAGTGGGGGAGAGGGAGGAGGGATCGCTCGAGGTTGCCTTGTCGAAGGGTCTAGCCCCAACTCTTTGAAACACCCTTTGTCGACTGCAGGAATTACGAATTATAAAGAACTTTTGATGAATCGGTGCACTTCGGCAAGCATTCAGCTCGACATTCGACACATTGGACTTCTCTCAAATTTCATAAACTCCATATCCTCATACGCGATGCAGCAAAAATATTGTACACAATAATATTATATAACGGTTATTGATAATGAAAAGCTATAATTTTAAACTAATGAGGCAGTTTGAAAAATAATTAATTTCCGCATTTTTTTTCTTGATATCACGCGTTTTAACATTTCGAAATATCGTCTGGCTCGGACAGCCATAGATGAAATATAATATTTACTGCCGCGTTGCATTTTCGTGCGAGCCATAAATTCTATCCGTCATTTTGGGGCCCGGACAATTTCAATTTTATTCCATTAAAAATCGTGATCATTGTTGCACGAACGAATTTATCGCGCCAGACATTCTACACGAATTTCAACATTTAATTTTGACGTACGGTTACTACCCTCGAGCTCTCTTTCCCTCCCTTTCTCTCTGTTCGCTCAGCCTGCCTGCCTCTATATAGCTCTCTCTTTCTCTCTCTCTCTATTTCTGCCAACACCCTTCGACACCCTCCAATCCTCTCTCTCTCTCTCTCTCCCTCCCACTCTTTTCTCTCATGCCGTCGCTCTACCTCTAGCGCTGGCACAAATCATTTTCGGAATATCAAACACCTCTGACAGAACGTCCAATGATTTCCCACCCCCGTTCGCCCTTTCGCCGCATAGCGACCCTTTGACGCCGGCCGCGCCTGCGACTCTTTTCCGCGAGATCTCGCGTTCGCCAGGCGCCGCCGGCCGTTTGCGAGATTTTCCGGCGCATTTTTTTCCGCGGCGCCGATACATCTCGCCGCACCACTCGTCAAAATCACCGGGCACGCGAAAAGTAGGTAGAAAGCTCGGCAAAAGCTCGCACGTGGTTGGACGTGTGAGCACGAAACAGCCCGTGGAATCGCCACCTCCCTCCTCCTTTCCACCTTTCCACCACCTCGGTCTGACCGCTGGTGTGTGCTGATCGTCCCCGTACACCCGTGCGTCCCGGGTCTCGCACCGGGTGAATGTTATATGCCGGGTGGATGGCCACCCACCCCCTCGCGCTCGGCCACCCCCTTCACAGCCCGCGGCCCGGCCCGGCCCGGCACCGGCCCTACCGCCCTGCCGCGCGCGCGGCCCACTACACGTCCACGGCAGAAAATTAATGTCCCCTGCAATCCATGTATAATGCATTCGCATTTCGTTCAACGAACAAATGAACGCACCGCTAGAAAATTTACGTCCCATCTCGCTCACGGCCGAACGTCTTTTCTCTTGTTTCGAGCATTCTCTTTCTCTCTCTCTCTCTCTCTCTCTCTCTTCCCCCTCTCTTTTTCTTTCTATCTCTCTCCCTTGTCCCAATCTCTCTGTCTTTCCCTCTTTCTCTCTATCCATCCCTCGCACGGGAATTCGCGAGCGGAAACACACCGGCCCTGACCAACTCGCGGCCGCGCTCGCTCGTTCTCTCTTCCGGCCGCGCGTTCCATCATCTCCCGCTTCCCCGCCTCCCGTTCCCCTCCTCTCTTCCTCTTCCCCGGTCCCCTCGTCCCGTACTCCCGGCGTCATCGAAATTCCGGCTGGAAATCATTAAATTGCACGCACTCACACGCACGTGCGTCGTTCGCACTGATGGCCCCTCTCCTGGCGAGTCCCCTTCACCTCGACCCTCCCGCTCTTTCGCTCTTGCGACCTTCTATGACACTCGTCGAACTATCCACACGAGTGATACCTCGAATTTTGGTGTATGCCCGGGTGAGGGGAGCCGATTTTGGCGAATATGCACTGTTTCCCGGGAAAAATTGACGATGACA